GTGAGGAAATATTACATATAGAAATGTACCATATAAAAATAAATGTGTTTATCAAATCCATTTCAAAATGTATGAAAACAAAATCCTGTCTAATGTACTTTACTGATTGATACCTTTTGAAATTATTTTGTATTCCAGTACCTTAATTTTAAATATGGTCAAATGAACCAAAGCTATTAGCAAAGCTTTCCAGAAGAGTGGAAGCTGTTATAGCTGCAAAGGAGGACCAACTCCATATTAATGCCTATGGATTTATAGTTGGATTCATAAAAGCTCCTGTAGGTGTGGTGTGAAGGTGCCCCACTGTGTTGGTGTGAAGGTGTGTACTGCATTGGTCAAAAAGCAGCAATAAGGGAATTCCAGTGTCCATGCTCACCCAGTCAGGAGGACCCTTTTGCACATGTAAGCAAGTTCAGGCCTGCTTTTCCTGTCTGGAGGTAGATGTTTAACACACCTCATGGTTGCTCAAGGACCCTGCTGGAATGTAAGAGGACTCTGCAGGGCCCCAGAAAGTGTAGTTTTTCCCTTATAACTTCTTCTAGGGACCCAAAAGGTACTTGAGGGCTCACCTAGAGGAGAAGGGCTCAACAACACGGAGCTGAGGTGTAGTTCCTCCAGTAAACCTGTTTTACATTAATGTGTTTTGTTAGTTCTTTGATTACCCTGCTGATACACCAGCCTCACTAATTTTTACAGCTAAAATATTGTTGATTACCTGTGTGAGAGCAGCATTCAGGGTTAAAGCTGAATGTAAGCAGAAACTTAGGGCTTCTTTTGTCAGTCATACCTTTGCTTCCAAAAATATAGAAAGCAGAAATGAGGCAAACACACTTTGTGATTGATTGCAGCAGCTGACTGAAGGTTGAATGTAATGCAAGTGGAAAATGGATATGTTGCATTGTTGAATTTATTATATTAAATGACATAATTAAATAATTAAATCATAATATGATGTAATACAAGCTAATTTGTCAATGCACCAAAGCGAAGTGATCTTTATAAATGTGTGTACATATATATATATATATATTTATTTATATATACAGATATATTGTGAAATTTCCACAATACCCGGATCAATAGAAATTATTTACTGCACAAACCGAGTGGAAATTACCTAATTAGTTCATTTAATTTCTCATTTTAATGTAATGTTAGTCCTTGAATAGTTGCGTTTGTAACAAACAACCCCACAGTGTTCGCTCTGAGCTGCTTAGTGAATACAGCAGGTGTATTAGAGCAGAACACACACCTGTTCAGGTGTTGAGTGTCACATCATTACGGTACCAGAGCGACACTCTACACCCCTGCAGCACAGAGAGGCCTTTGTCTGCATGAGGCCTAACAATGCAGATCTTTCAAAAGAACCATCTGTGATTAGCAGGAATGCGGCTGTGATTGGTCAGCATTGGCAGCAGAAATGCAGCTGTGATTGGTCAGCATGTGCAGCAGAAAAGTGGCTGTGATTGGTCAACATGTGGAGCAGAAAAGTGGCTGTGATTGGTCAAAATGTGGAGCAGAAATGCAACTCTGATTGGTCAGCATTGGCAGCAGAAATGCAGCTGTGATTGGTCAGCATGTGCCACAGAAAAGTGGCTGTGATTGGTTAGCATCTGGAGCAGAAATGCAGCTGTGATTGGTCAGCATGTGCAGCAGAAATGCAACTGTGATTGGTCAGCATGTGGAACAGAAATGCGGCTGTGATTGTTTAATGTACTCTTTTGATAGACAGCAATGATTCAACAGAAACATTAGCAAATAACAATAGATTATTTGTCATCATTCAGGGGCCAAATTGCAACTTTGAATGTGTAATTTATTTACAAAGGAGCTTCATTACAAAAAAGTGAAAGTGCTTTACAGTGCCATGTAAATAACTGAGATAAAGAGAAAAAACTGATATATTTAAAATCTAAAACTGTAAAACAGACAAATGAAACAATCACTAATCAAAATCACTCACGAAAAGAACACCTGAGAGCAGAAGTGATTTAATACAAACCTGTAAAAGTACAATAGAGGCAAAGTAAAAACATTATAGGCAAAAGCTAGCTAAAATCTAAAATGAAAAAATAAGCTTTATGTAGATTTATTATCCTGTATTTAGACTTTTACAACATGCTGAATTCACTGCAGGTCATTAGAGCGGAATCTCTGGCTGTGATCCACTTTTATCACTTTATAACAAGCAATAAAGCTGCATTTAATCTCACTGTGAGTGACTGTCGGCATGACTGAAGCTCCCATTCAAACACAGCTCTGTTCCTGAAGAGTGGTGGCAAAAGTCTGGGCACTTCTGGCAAAATAGCACAATTTTGCAAAAAATAAAATAAAAAATGTGCCCAAACTTTGGCCAAAAAATATTTCATGTTTATGTTTTATTTTTTTCACACATATATATATATATATATATATATATATATATATATATATATATATATATATAAACATATATATAAATATATGTTTATATATATATAAATATATATATAAACATATATATAAATTCAGCAAATCTATCATAACTGTAGATGCCATATTTAAGTTAAACATGGATTACCTGAGGGCCACAAGCTAAGTGGTCATGAGAAAAAAAAATGTTCCATAATGTCTAGTAGTGCATATGTGTATTTATCACTCCTCTACCAAACTTTACTGTTGGCACTATGCATTCCGGTAGGTAGCGTTCTCCTGTCGGCCACCAAACCCAGATTAATCATCAGACTGCCAGATACAGAAGCGTGATCTGTCTCTCCAGAGAACACGTTTCCGCTGCTCCAGAGTCCAGTGGCAGGGTGCTTGGTTCTTGGCATTGCAGTGATCTTAGGCTTGTGTACAGCTGCTCAACCATAAAGACCCATTTCATGAAGCTCCTGACGCACAGTTCTTGTGCAGAAGTTGCTTCCAGAAGCAGTTTGGAACTCTGTAGTGAGCGATGTAACATAGGATAGGAGATTTCTATGTGCTATGCACACTAAACGACTCCGTTTGTAAGTTTGTGTGGGCTAGCACTTTGTGGCTGAGCTGTTGTTGCTCATAGATCAGGCATGTCAAACTGGGCCAAAGATTTGCAGAGATCAGTGTTTACCCTCATCTAACACGCTGAATTCATGAAGGCCTTGCTAATTAGCTGACAAGCTGAATCACCTGGTGGCATCCTATGACAGTGTCACATTTAAAGTTACTGAGCTCTTCAGTACGACTCTTTCTACTGCCAGTGTTTGTCTATCGAGACTGCAAGCCTGTGTACTTGATTTTATACAACTGTTAGCAATGGGTGTGGCTAAAACAACTGAACTCAATAATTAGGATATACATTTGGCCGTGTAGTGTATTTTGTTTTGTTTTTTTTAATGAAAAGAAGTAAACACTATTTCTGTAGCAAACTGTTTGAAAAAATAATTTTTTTCTACAAATGTGTTTGTTCAGTGTCTTTATATTTAATTAACTTAAAAAGTAGAAAACAATAAAACAGTAATTGTGGCATGTGCAAAAGTTGGGGCATGTGGCATGTGCAAAAGTGGACACCAGCTAGGAGTCTATATGTTCTTGTTTTAGGGAAATTTTTAGTTAATCAATCACAGATCAAGCATTTTGTTCAGGTTGTTGAACTATTACACTATTACTGCAGATGCAGCAGGTAGAGATGAAGGTAAACACACTGGAGTTTTCCTTTAACAATCTAATATTAATATATTGTACTTTCTGCAGAGTCACTATCAGTGCGAAAAGGGTGTGAGGACAGATAATGCTGCCTGTGTTCACTACTATACTGTTATCTGCCTCAGAGTCATCTAAACGACCTGGCCTGGTGGAACATGAAGGGTCAGAGATGTTAATGTTTGTACTGCATATGTGGACCTGCATATTGGTCAGAGGTTACATTGTAAAAATATTTAACCTACTGAAAATCCCAGGCCATATTAACTATTGTGATGGTTTCCTTACAGATATTTCCATGCTTACCCTACAGCCATTTCCATTGTTACCCTACAGATATTTCCATGGTTACACTGCAGCCATTTCCATGGTTACACTACACCCATTTCCATGGTTACCCTACAGATATTTCCATGGTTACCCTACAACCATTTCCATGGTTACCCTACAGCCATTTCCTTGTTAGCCTACAGCCATTTCAAAGGTTACCCTACAGCCATTTCCCTGGTTACCCTACGGCCATTTCCATTGTTACCCTATACCCATTTCCATGGTTACCCTACAGCCATCTCCACGGTTACTCTACAGCCATTTCCACGGTTACACTACAGTCATTTCCATGGTAACCTTACAGATATTTCCATGGTTACCCTACAGATATTTCCATGGTTACACAACAGCCATTTCCACGGTTACCCTACAGCCATTTTTATGATTACCCTACAGCCATTTCAATTGTTACCCTACAGATATTTCCATGGTTACCCTACAGCCATTTCCATGGTTACACTACAGCCATTTCCATGGTTACCCTACACCCATTTTCATGGTTATCCTACAGATATTTCCATGGTTACCCTACAGCCATTTCCATAGTTACCCTACAGATATTTCCATGGTTACACAACAGCCATTTCCATGGTTACCCTACAGCCATTTCAATGGTTACTCTACAGAAATTTCAATGGTTACAGTACACCCATTTCCATGGTTACTTTACATCCATTTCCATGGTTACCCTACAGCCATTTCCATGGTTACACTACAGCCATTTCCATGGTTACCCTACACCCATTTTCATGGTTATCATTCAGATATTTCTATGGTTACCCTACAGCCATTGTGTTTTCAGTGATGATGCTAAGTCAAGTTTTCTGTGACGATGCTGAGTCGTGTTTTCTGTGATGATGCTGAGTCATGTTTTCTGTTATGATGCTGAGTTGTGTTTTCTGTGATGATGCTGAGTCGTGTTTTATGTGATGATGCTGAGTTGTGGTCTGTGATGACGCTGAGTCGTGTTTTCTGTGATGATGCTACATCGTGGTCTGTTTTCTCCTCAGATCTGCATGCGGCGGTGGAGGAGGTGTTGCCCATGCTGAAGGAGCAGCAGGTGATGGTGTTGTTGTTGGCAGAGCACTGTGATACGGATGGGATCGTGTGTTTTAGTGAGAAAATCAATGTTGCAAGTGACGAACAGCCACCGATCTCTCTGCGCTCCAAAGTGACCATGAAAAGCCCTGCACTGTACATCTACACATCAGGCACTACAGGTGAGATACACTCTTAAAGGTGGTTTTTCAAGGGCTTTAGTAAAGACAGTGGTTCTATATAGAACAATGAATACTCAAAGAATAATTTGCAAGCTTAAATAGTTGTTTGCATGGTGAAATTGTTCTTCAGATTAATGGAGAATTTGTCTTTGGTTGCCTTACAGCCGTTTCCATTGTTAACTTACAGCCATTTCCATGGTTAACCTAAAGATATTTCCATGGGTACCCTACAAATATTTTCCATGGTTACTCTACAGCCATTTCCATGGTTATCCTACAGATATTTCCATGGGTATCCTACAAATATTTTTCATGGTTACTCTACAGCCATTTCCATGGTTATCCTACAGATATTTCCAGGGTTAACGTACAAAAATTTCCATGGTTATCCTACAGATACTTCCATGGTTAACTTACAAATATTTCCATGGTTACCCTATGAATATTTCCATTGTTATCCTATAGACATTTCCATGGTGTCCTTACAGATATTTCCATGTTTACTCTACTGCCATTTCCATGGTGTCCCTACAGCCATTTCCATGGTTACCCTACAGATATTTCCATGGTTACCCTACAGACATTTCCATGGTTAACTTACAAATATTTCCATTGTTACCCTACAGATATTTCCAAGGCTGTCAAAAGAGTTTCAATGGTAATACTAAGCCCATTTCCACAGTTACACTACACTCATTTCCATGGTTAGACCACACTAGACAGAAGAACCCATTTTGGTGCTATATAAAATCCTTTTCAAAAGGGTTCTATATAGAACCATATACAGTACATTTTCCATCAACCAAAGAACCATTTCATCATGCAAAGAACCCTTTCAGTTCACTTTAAGACTGTGAAATTAATAAATAACTGCTTGCTTATGTCTGCAAACATGCAGAAGAGGGAGCTCTCGCTGGTTTTACTTATTAATAACTTGGCAAAGATGAAACACTACACGTATTTGTCACATCTTTTATTATTATTTATTGAACAATGTAATTAAAAAAACAACACAAACTAATATTTGAAAAAACTGTTACATCGTATATAGGCTGCATGGTTTATAAACACTACAAACGTATAAAGTACACATACTATAAGTATTTAAACTTCAGTACTCAGATTATGTTCTCAACTTTGATGAGAACACCCATTAACCTGCATGTTTGTGGTTTCAGGTTTTCCGAAGGCAGCTGTGATCAACCATGAGAGAGTTTGGATGGCGTCCCACCTCCAGTTCATGTCCGGGGTTTCCTCTAATGATATCATCTACATCTGCCTGCCGCTTTACCACAGCTCAGGATTCCTCATGGGCCTCACCGGGGCAATAGAGAGGGGTAAATAACTAATCACCCCCCCTCACCACTGGGGTAGTAGATCGGAGTAAATACACAAACACCCCCTACCGGAGCAATAAAACAGGATGACCCCTCAAAATTCTGTCTAAAGCCGACTGTAGCCCACAAAATTCTTTCTGAACCTGACTGTAGCCCACAAAAATTCTGTCTGAACTCAACTGTAGCCCCACAAAATTCTTTCTGAACCTGACTGTAGCCCACAAAAATTCTGTCTGAACTCAACTGTAGCCCCACAAAATTCTGTCTGGACCTGACTGTAGCCCACAAAATTCTGTCTGAACCTGACTGTAGCACCACAAAATTCTTTCTGAACCCAACTGTAGCCCACAAAATTCTGCCTGACCTTGACTGTAGTCCCACAAAATTCTATGTGAATCCAACAGTAGCCCCACAAAATTTTGTCTGAATCCAACAGTAGCCCCACAAAATTCTGTCTGAACCCAACAGCAGCCCCACAAAATTCTGTAGCCCACAAAACTGTAGATCAACTGGAACCAACAGAATTGTCTGTGTTTGTGTAGGTATCACGGTGATGCTAAAGAGAAAGTTCTCAGCATCTAAGTTCTGGGACGACTGCAGGAATCACAATGTGACGGTTATCCAGTATATCGGAGAGACCATGCGCTACCTCTGTAAAACACCCAAGGTAATTCATGCTATAGCCCCTCAGCTGTGAATTAAACTGTTCCTGCGTGTTTTGAACAGCTGCTTCAATTAGCAATTTTTCTGTGTTGTGCACTCCCGGCTTTAGCGACCTCTCTCTCCTGTTCTGTGTTTGTGTCCCAGACGGACCGTGATCGAGTTCACAGTGTACGGCTGGCATTTGGGAACGGTATCCGTGGCGACACGTGGATGGAGTTACTGCAGCGGTTCGGAAACATGCGTGTCAGCGAGTGTTACGGAGCCACGGAGGGAAACATCGGCTTCGTTAACTATGTCGGCAAAATCGGCGCCACAGGACGTGTGAACATGTTCCTAAAAGTTAGCTGCTAAATACAACTCCCACAATGCACCATGTGCCATTCACCTGCGATGTAATGAATAAAAGCGGTGGCCATTTTACTTATTACATCACACACAGTTTGTTAGCACAATCACTCAGCAGCTCCGGGAAAGTGGAGCTACCCTGCTGAAAAGGACCGTTAGAAAGGATGAGTCCTCATCAGCTGTACTGGTTAGCTGTGTTAGTGTTAGCTCATTAGCTCGTTTGGAGAAGCAGCCGTCGTTAATCATCTGAAACAAAAACCTACTCATTTCAAACAGCAATTTTTGAAAAATTAAACATTTTCAAATTTTAGCCTAACACTAGCACTAGCATCTAAAATAAGCCTACAACGCTTCGCTAATTTTGGACAAAGTCTGTATTTTTCCCTTTTGTTGTTGTTTTTCCTTCTCTGCATCCATCCACTACCTCTTATGGATTAGATGGTATGAGCATCCCTAGTATGAGCGTTTTTTACTTCCATGCTGAAAAAGGACCATTAGGATTAAAACCTGATGTGTCTGCTTTCTAATGGGAATTGAATACAGACACTAGTTTCCCGTAGAACACCTTTAGATCCAATTAGGAAAACATCAAATACATTTAGAATCAGCCACTGGTCACCTGTTAAACTGTTAGGATCCTTTACACTGTGATATCAACCCACTGAAATAGACAAAACACATTACAAAACCACCAGGAACAAACAGGAAGATTTAATGAATTCTGTGGGTTTTTTCAGCAGAGTAATTCAGCTGATAAACACAAACACTACCTAGATATATCGGCTAGCTAGCTAAGTTAGAATTCTCACACTTCACATACCCAGCTGTCGTATTACTAACGGCATATCACACTAATACCAGTTCATCACATTGACCCTGAAAGCTCAGCTTGGATTTCCAGTAACTTTAGTATCCAGTTTTTAATTTTAGCTGTCAGAAATCTTAGCGCTAGCAAAGCAAACCTGGCTAACGTAGTCTTATCAGTAGCGTTTTCAGTTTTGATGAACGTTAGGTGACTATAGCCCAGACAGCAGGGTGACATCGAGCCATTGTTGTCACCGTTTTTGATTATTCATCTGAATTAACTGATATATAATTGATTAATTAGCCTAAATGTGGCCTGTAACTGTGACTGTATTTACTGTTTTTTTTTTTAAACAAAACGCAGATCAACAACTTCATTAACATCTTGTTACTGTACTGACTCACTCTAAATTTTGGTGGAAAACTTTATAAGATAAATTTAAATATGTCTTGTAACATTCTGACAAACAGAGGTACTGTTCACAAAGAGCCAATTTACGAACGCATGCCCACAATTTGGAGCTGCTATAAGTAATAAGCAATAAAACTAAAAATGAGTGATATAATAACAAACATGTAGATAAACATTATAGCTCTTCAGGCTGCAGCGCCATTTACTCAGTTTAACATTTTAACGCGCAAGTCTGATGGTATTTTTATTTTGTGCTCTGTGTGAATCATTTGTATTTTAAAGCTAATTAGCCAGTTACATAGTTATAGCTAGCTTTTGACGTGCAGTGTATCTGATGTGTCCGACTGTATTTGTAGCACACAATGATTACCAATGCTGTGTATAGTTTTACTAATGTTTTTCTGCATTTTGTGTATGGATGTGTTCAGAGAGTCTTATCCTACGCTCTGATTAAATACGACACTGAGAAGGAGGAGCCAGTACGAAACTCCAGGGGATTCTGTGAAGAGGTTCCTACAGGTAAACAGAAGCAGCCCTTATAAACTACACTTATTAATAAACCAACATTTATACATTTATATGCTGAGTAATGCTGAAAGATTTCACTTTACACAATTTCCCTCTTACCCTTAATCAGTCTGACAAGACATGGCATCTCAAGTTTGCTTCTTTAGTTTTAAAGCTGGAGCTACGAGGCTAATGAAGATAACAACCTTGCTGAAAAAATAAAAGGAACCATTAAAAGTTTCTGTTGGTTCCTGGTGGTCTCCAATTCCCATTAAAAGCAAACCATTAGGTTTTAATCCTAATAGTTCTAATGGTCCTTTTTCAGCAGGAAAATAATGGAAGCTTTTACTAGGGATGTCTGTATGAGCTAATCCATAGGAGTTAGTGAATGGATGCGGAGAAGGAAAAACCAACAACAAAAAGGAAAAATACAGCATTTGTCCAAAATTAGTGTAGCGTCGTAGGCTTACTTTTAGATGGTTGTGCAAGTGTTAGGCTAATTTTTTTTTAAAAAAAGGTTTGATCTTTCAAAAACAGCAGTGGAAAATCAGTAGGCTTTTGTTTCAGATGAGTAACAGAGGCTGCCTCTTCAAATGAGCTAATGAGCTAAAACTAACACTACAGCTAACTGGAACAGCTAATGAGGACTCATCGTTGTCTTTTCTCCTCAGTGGATGATGTATTAACATGTTGGTTTGATAGAAAAATATATTTTCACTGCTTCTGGATCTAGCTAACATCAGCTAGAGTAGTTAGCCTAGTTAGCATTAAAGCCACACCGGAGCCAGAAGCGCTATCTCTGAGCTCTCAGTCTCTCCCTTATAAATGTGTCTAAAGCCATATTGGAGCAGAATTGGTTTCTCCAAAAGAGGTCAGTACGTAATTTGTGCGTAATTTGACTGGACGATCCAATAATGTTACTGTGTGGCTAGATGACAAAAACAAACAAAAAAAAAACGACATTGGAATAGGAAGCCCTGCTGAAAAAAAGACCATAAGAACCAATAGGATTAAAAGCTGATGGTAGTCTTGTCATGAACGTGAGGATTAAGGAATTGGGTCAAATCAAGCTAGCCGTTTTAGCTATTAGCCTCGTCTTTAGGTCATAAAAAAAAGCAAAGTACAGATGGTGTTTTCTGTTAGCCGGTTTTATTATTACATAACTGTAATGTTGAACTGCCTGTTATTACGGAGAAATCTCTGAGTTCAGGTGATTATAGAAGGCAATTCGCTCCAGAATTATTACTGAGCAGACTGTAAAAACTAAGGACAATGCAGATTCATACTGGATTAAAATCACAGATCTCATTGTTAATCACTCAAATTACGGCATCTTCCCAGATTAAACTAATCCAGCTCCAACATCCATCCTTACTCGCAAATACAAACAAAACATTTGTTGTCGCATTTTATAGCTCTGTACAAACATGACATACATTGACCAACTGACACTGTGAGTATTTATAAACTTTATGGCACTTTATTCGACCAAGTAAATTAGCATTCTGCTAACTACATGCCTTAATATCATCACATCTTAGAGTTGTTCAGTGATCAGTAATAAAATTCAGTATGTGGTTTCTGACATTGTATGACTCGCTGTTAATTATAAACATGGATAAAAGCACATTAGCATTGCTAAACACAGCAGCAGCCATCATCATGAAGTTTAAAATGACAGAAATGTTCAAACCAAGCAGTTAGCAAAGTATTGTAACTGCCACTGCTAAGAAAGTAAACATCTTAACATGCTGTTCCTTCTGAGCTAATGCATGTACAGAATGTGTTAGTGAGCACTAATAAGCTGTAACAGACCTATAAGGTAAAGATTTTTATTTAAAGAAATAGGCAGCGTGCACTAACAGAGCCGTTAGAGAGGCTAGCACTCCGATTTAACCCTGCAGTGGAGTGCAGTTTAACAGAGCCGTTAGCGTGACTAGCACTCTGATTTAACCCTGTAGTGGAGTGCAGTTTATCAGAGCCGTTAGCATGACTAGCACTCTGATTTAACCCTGCAGTGGAGTGCAGTTTAAATGTGTTTATGTGCACAGGGGAGACAGGCCTGCTCGTGGCTAAGATCACTAAAGTGGCTCCATTTAGTGGCTATGCTAACAATCAGCAGCAGACGGACAGAAAGAAGCTGAGGAATGTGTTTGTGGAGGGAGACCTGTACTTCAACAGCGGAGACCTGCTGAAGGCTGACGGACAGGGCTTCCTTTACTTTCAGGACCGCATCGGAGACACGTTCAGGTACACGTCCTCCGAACAAATCGCGGCTTTTTAAGAGCGTACTTTAGTTCAGTGTGTGTGAGCTGTTGTTGGTGTGTGGCAGGTGGAAAGGCGAGAATGTTGCTACCTCGGAAGTTACTGACGTTTTAATTTCAGTGGATTTCATCGAGGAGGCTAACGTCTACGGAGTCAAAGTGCCAGGTACTCGGAAGCATCTCTCACTGGGAGCGATTACACTGAATATTTACATACATACTAACGTTTATGGAATTTGGTAGCTAAACAGCAGTTTAGCCCCGCCCATTCAGCCTACAGCAATTTAGCCCCGCCAATTCAGCATACATCAGTTTAGCCCCGCCCATTCAGCCTGAAGCGTTTGAGTCTGGACTGGTTTTTGGAGACACAGAACAGCCAATCAAAACAGAGCTCATTTACATTTAGCAGTCTTGAAAACACAAAAAGAAAAACTGTTTATTTTAAGGGATAAAGTGAGGTTGGAAAATGGTCATGTAAAAATTAATTATGACTTTTTTGGCACATAAAACCTCACAAAATGATACAAGTGAATCACTATAGTTATGTTCTGCCTTAATAATGTTACTGTTTATTAGGGGTGGGAATCTTTAGGCACCTCACGATTCGATTCGATTACGATTCAGAGGGCTGCGATGCGATTATAAAACGATTATCGATGCATCTTTTTTTCTCTACACAGGATTTCCATCTTCATACTGTCTAAAAACTTGGTAGTTTTAAAGCAAAGTATTTGTAATGATCCATAATGGATCATTACAAATACTTTGCTTTAAATATCTAAAATATCTTTTATTAATAAATCAAATGGAAGTGATGTGGCAAGTGAACTAGAAGGCTCTCATTCAGAGCCGCTGCTGCCACTCATCTGCGATAAAATGCGCTGTTACCCTGAAATTAGATCCAGTGGTTATGGGCGTCCATGCATGCGTTACGGCCATCCTTCCCGTTTTCTTTAGTCATTTTATAACTTCGGTTTTGGTCTCGTTGTAGGGGGGGGGGTGGTATTTTTATGACTGGACGCTGAATCTCGGCTCCAAAGTGTGCAGCATAGCGCGAAAGCCCTGGTTCTCAACGACCGAGAACAGACAGCAGACAGCAGGTCACATAGCCCCGAAGTCTGGCCTCGCCAGTAGCGAACGAAGAAACAGAGATTCTTTCTCTAAAAAGTTGCGAAAATGAACTCGCTTCTCTTTCGAATTTTCCCGTTCTACCTTAAATGGTGCAGCAGTTACATTCGGCGCCTAAGGCAGAATTTAAGATGGAACGGGAAAATTAGAACGAGAAGCTGGCGAATGAGAAGCGACTTCAGCCTCGCAAAACAGCCGGACGCTGAGACATTTTACAAGAAACTCTTCTAGTTTTGAAGAAAAGTTTTCTGGCGGAAATGGGAGGAAAGCGGCTGTAGCTGAAGCTTAAAGCAGATCAGAGTAAATCTGCGCTCTCCTTTATATTTTTAGCCCATACTACGACATTAACACATACTGGACATTAAATGTTGTGGCTCCCAAGGTGGTTTGACTTCGTTGAAAGGACAAAATGGCTCTTCTTATCATTTGTGTTGTGACTCCTGATCTAACCTGGCTTTAATGCAGAGGGAGCCGGTCGGATTTCTCACTCATCCAGTTGTGTTTTTGTTTTGTGCCGCCACAGACTGTCCGGGCGCTGCACTTACCCACTTCCAGTTCCACCTTTTGCGTTCCGTCAACGTTTCGTTATAAATTAAATATTTAGAAAATCGATTTTTGACATTTATGAATCGATTCAGAATCGTTCACGTCCGCATCGCGATGCATCTAAGAATCGAGTTTTTCCCGCACCCCTACTGTTTATTAATACTCTGAGTTATATGCTGAATTAGTGCAGTATCTACTTCAACTGAAAGTGTGTGTCCTGGTTTACTGTACAGCGAGTGTTGGAAGTCCTCAGTGAGAGCTCTATGTTTCAGGTCACGAGGGCCGGATTGGAATGGCTGCAGTTAAGCTGAAGGAGGGGCGGATCTTTGACGGTTCTGCATTGTTTGAGCAAGTGCAGAGTCTCCTGCCCGCATACGCCCGGCCACGCTTTATCAGGATACAGGTAACACTGTCCAACATGCCCACCAAACTCACCGCAGTTACGCTTTAAAATATCCTGCATTGTTAACCCTATAGAGGTCAGAGTTCTGGAGCTGAAATTACACAAACTCTCAGTTTATTAACCCTTCAGTGTCTTTAACCCACTGGGCTCCACAAATTCTGCCACACATCAAATTCTCTGTCTCTATATCTGTTTCTGTATCTTTGTGATGATCCAGCATAGAAATTCAGTTCAAACATTTCCTGTCTGTAGAGTCGCCCTTTCCATTCCATCTTATGACGAGATTGTATGTGACTCACATCTGGAGTTATGAGGCTTGAAGAGGGGCTGTCATCTGCCTGTCACCATGTGAACCTGGTGGATTAGTGTGTCCGTCTACATTCTTTGTGAAACTGACCAATGGACACTCAGGAAATCACTAAGGACTGACCCATAATGCCAAAAACCCTTCATTCTTTATTCAGTCCATATAGGAGACACATGTGAAATGGCGTGCAGAGAGTTTACAGCTGCTGAAGTTGCTGCAGAGGTTTTGGAAAGTAGTGATGAAGATAACAAACATTTTGATATGAAACAAGAGTATCATGTTATATCACTGAAAAAGGAAAAAACATATATTAATTTTAATGTAAATCAAAGTAACCAGACTTTTTTTGGGGCCATTTATTTTGTTTTTTTCATCCTGAAATCTACATTTCTGGCCACCATTATTGGCACCCTTTAATTTTTTAAAAATAAAATTTACAGTATTTTCATAAATAAATGGAACTATACCAATTTTTAGTGATAGATTTTTTTTGGATGTCTGAAGTTAATAAACAACAATTTGTGGTAGCCATGTTCAAGCTTCTTGTCTGCTGGTAGTTTTTCCCATATCAGGACTCAATGCTGGCCAGTTTAAAACAGTCCTTACTTCCTTTGCAACTATTCTGTCATGCTTTTTAATTGTGTGCTTTGGGTCTTTATAATGCTGAAGGACCCATGATCTTCAACCCAAACCAGGCTTCCTTACACTAGGCAGCACATTTCGCTCTAAAATGTCTTGGTCATCTTCTGATTTCATTATTCCTTCAAGTCATTTGAGGCCTCCAGTACCTGAGGCAGCAAAGCAGCCCCACAACATTATGGATCCACCACCATATTTCACTGTAGGTAGGGTGTCCTTTTGCTTTAAGCTTTATTTCATCTACTATAAACAAAGCGCTTGTCTGTATTACCAGTTGCATCTGTTTTTGTTTCATCAGTTCACAAATCATTTGCCCAAAACAATTGCAGTATACATATATACATACATACATACATCATCTAAACCGCTTATCCTTCTGGGTCGCAGTGGGGTGCTGGAGCCTATCCCAGCTGTCATTGAGCGGAAGGCAGGATACACCCTGGACAGGTCGCCAGTCCATCGCAGTATGTTTTGTCAAAAATCAGTAGTGCCTTTTTATGTCTTCATTGACTTTCGCCCATGAAGTCCTTCTTGCTTTAGTGTGTGGCATGTGGTACAGGCTGAAATTGCTTCAGGTCTGTCTTTAGCTCTTTGGAAGTTACACAGTGTGTTTTTTCCACAGTTCATACCAGCCTTCAAAGTCATTTCTCACTGATTTTCCTCTTTGACCCACATCCTAGGAGGTTCTTGATAGTTCCATGAGCAAGAAACTTTGCACTGTTGAAACAGGGGATGGGAGGACTTTGACCTTGTACCCTTTACCGTTCTTCTGTTTGGAGATATTAATACTTCTGATGCTCTCAGACAGCTCTCGTCTTTGGCATTGTAAAAAGGATTCGGGGAAAGTAAAGTGGCCTTTTTAAGCATTAAAGCCATCATTCATTGCTTAATTCAAGTCATGTGAGCACTTATTTATCACAGGTGATTCTAATCTAGTCTAATCTGAATGGGATTCATCAAAAGGGTGCCAATAAGTGTGTCACATCTATATTTCTGGTTTTATGCTTTTTCAACCTATTGCTTTTTTAACTTTTTTTTTACCCTAAGCTGTTGGCTATTGAACATGATTGTTTAATGACCAAAGATGTTTCACAATACTTTTTTATTTTTGTAGATTTTGTACTTACAATTCAGGGGTGCCAATAATGGTAGCCAGAACTGACACACAATGTAAAAGACAGCAGGCTCTTTCAGATTCATGATGTGTTCTTAAGGTGCAGAACTGTTCTCACCTTTGTGTGTAGATTCTGTTTTTACCTCAGAACAAATCCCAAATAAGAAAACGTTGGTGAATGTTAGAATCTTCGTCAAAACTGCGCAAGTGGGTTTTAAGAAAAGATTTGTTCTTAAGAACAGTTGGTGAATGAGGCCCAATGTTCTTAAATGCAATTCTTGAAAAAACTGAAGAAGTTCTCAGATATTCTCTTAAGAAAATCTTCATTGTTTAACGACACAAGATGCATTTTGAATTTGTATTAACTGTTATTTCAGTTATTTAGTTGAATCCACTCAAGGGTTCAAAAAGTTTAGCAAATAAGATCTAGAGGTGATGGAGGAAGAGACAGCCAACGGGAAAAAATCCTCCTTAAAAAATATGATAATTGTGGAATGACGGCGGAAAGAGAGAGAGGAGGATGAGGAGCAGCAGAAGCAGTCTCACAGCCTGAGACGAGTGTGAGTCTGTCGTAAGATTAAGAAACATTTAAGAACATAATGTTTTCAAGAATAACACTTTTTTTAGAATTGTTATTAAGAAAATACAAAAAAATTAAGAGATATCTTAAGAAGTTATTTGAAGAATAACAATTTTTAGTAACTTTTTTCTTAACAATGATGTTAAGAAAACACACATTGAAGAAGATTTTCTTTCTTAAGACATTTTGGTGAATCCAGCTGCAGATCTTTTGTTGTTGTTATTTTTAGCGATTGCGGTAAACCAACGCTGCATCGTGCTTGGGAGCGTTCCTTTATGGCTTTATACTCAGTGTCTGAAAGTGTTCTCCTGTTCTCCTTTAGGCAGCGCTTGATGTCACCGGCACTTTTAAACAGATCAAGGTGAGGCTGGCCGAGGAGGGATTCAACCCAAACACCATCCGGGACCCGCTGTACTTCATGGAGGACAGGAAGAGAACATACGTCCCCTTGACTGAGGAAATCATCAACTCCATCACTGCTGGACGATTGAGATTATAGCGCACACACTTTCGGACTCAGCGACGCTCCAGGAACGACAGCCTCAATTTTTGTTCTTTTAGGGAGAAATGATTATAACAGCCTAACACTGTCAGGGTTATTAAAGTTTTCACATTTTCATTATTTTTCATTTTTATTTAGTTTTTCATTTTGGTTTTTGATTGCAGTTTAGTTTCTGTTAGTTTTGAGGGTGCATTAGTTTTCAGTTTTAGTTTTTAGTATTTTGATGACTACGATGAGGTGTTTCGCTGCTGTCAGAACAAAACTTCAAAATGGTAACTTTACAGGAGAAGAAAGAAACATAGTTTATTTTTAATGCAAGTCAGTGGAACCAGAATTTTTTCCAAGTCAGTTTGGGTCATTTCTTTTGGTCCATTCATCATAAAATCTACACACAATATAAAGAACTACAGGCATTTTCAAATTATGTCAAAAACATAGGGATGGTTGGAAGCGTAGCCCCTGGCGATTATGGAGTGGTGTTGGTGTCGTGGGTGTGGTACTTTGGTCCCTTTTTTTTTACCCCTTTTCCCGATTCTCTTCCTCTCCTCTTCTTTATTCTTACCTACCTCTACTTAGGCAGCCCAATCAACAATATCTTTTGAAGGGGCTCCCGAGTGGCACAACCGTTTAAGCGTTGGCCCTATCATCAGGAGATCGCGAGTTCGATCCCTGGTGATGCTACAGCCATCCGTAGCCGGGAGGCCTCGCTCTCTCTGGGTGGGGGGGATGGCTGCCTTTCTCCCCCCATCACTCACTCAGCGCGATGCTAGTCGGCGCAGGCGTCTGTTAGCTGACGTAATACATCTGGCGGTTGGTGCTTTCCTCCAAATGCGTTCAGCTGTACAATGACGTTGCGTGAGCGGCAGCTCGAAAGAAGCGGTGGCTGGTTTCACAGGACTCGGAGGAAGCCTTCACCCTCCTAGCGTTGATAGTATCGTGTGTGATTGGGGGAATCATAACTAGCGGGTGGAATTGGAGACGACTATATTGGAAAGAAAATCGGGTAAAAAAAAAAAAAACAATATCTTTTGAAAGGCCAGCAGTGACATGACTTGCAATGGTAGGAAGTGTGTTTGATTTCCTAGAATACCAAAGAGATGAAGAATCCCATCAAAATCAGTAAGGTACTAACTCAGTTACAACATGTTCAAGGTAATATCATATTTTTGCAAGAAACACACCTTCGAACCACAGAAATCTCTCGTATTTAGAGGACTTGGATGGGACATTTATTCCATTCGAAATTTTCTGTCAGGGCAAGGGGGGCTGCTATCGCCATTCATAAAAACGTCATGTTTGAACCAACAAATTCCATTCTAGACTCTAACGGGCGTTACGTCATAGTTTCAGGCTTACTTTATAACGTGCCAGTGATCCTGGCCTGTCTGTTTGCCCCCCTGGGATGACGAGGAATTTTTTAATACGTTTTTCTCTAATCTTCCAAATGTGGATAGTTACTACATAATCATAGATGGTGACTTTTACCTCATCCAGGATGCGAGTCTTGATAGGTCGTTGCTTAAACAGGCCACCTTGTCCAAATCGGCCAGTGCTGTGTTAAATGATCAATCTCAATTAGGTCTGTCAGATCCTTAAAAATCCGCAGGACAAAGTGTTCTCTTTTTTCTCTCATGTACACCACTCTTTCTCAAGGATCGATTTTTTTCTGCTAGATAACAGACTACTCCATCATGTTAACTCGTGATTATCACACCATTGTCATTTCGGACCACGCCCCTACAACAGTCGATTAATTTTTCTTCTGCCCCAACCTTTGCCAAACAATGGAGATTCAGTTTGCATATGTTGTCCAATAATGAATTCAAGAACTTTACTGACACACAGATTAGCTTCTATTTTGCAGTTAACGATACCCCCAAGGTTGGTAGTGACAGTTTATTTTTATCCATGGGCAGGTTCCTATTCCTGTTAGGTGAGAAAGGTGGAGAGAGCTAGGTCCTTAGTGATAACAGATGAACTTTTCAAACTTGACATGGTGTATGCCTCAGGACCTTCCCCCACTCTTTACAATAAACGCCTTCAATTGCACTCAAAACATGACCTCTTGACGACGCACAAAATAGTGAGACAACTGCGACAATCTAAACAACTGTTCTTCAAACACGGAGATAAAGCAGGGAAGTTGCTTGCCCACCAGGCCCGTGAGGCTTATGCCTCCAGGTTGATTTCTTAGATGAAGTTACCCTCGTAACTCAGTCTTTTTTGATTATTATTCCAACCTCTACAAGTCAGAACGGCTCCTCAACCCCTCAGAGTTACACCACTGTCTTGACACATTAAATTATCCCAAAGTTAATGAGACTCTGGCCGTGGACATGGGTAGGCCCATTTCCACCCTAGAGATACAAAAGGCAATAGGGTCACTCCAAAATGGAAAATCCCCTTTGCCTGATGGTTTCACAGTGGAATTCTACAAAGCTTTTTCTACACAGCTTCTCCCAATTTTGACAAGGTTATACAATGTCTCTTTTGATAAAGGCAGACTTCCACTAACCTTATCAGCGGCGACTATTTTTTTTGTTACTCAAAAAGGATAAAGACCCTACCCTTTGCAGTAGTTATAGACAAATATCCCTTTTACATGTAGATTTCAAAATTCGTTGTCTTCAGCGGATAATGCCAGACCTTATTGTTCCCAACCAAACAGGTTTTATACAGGGCAGACATTCATTCTTTAACACCAGGAGATTACTTAATATTCTTTATTCCTCTTCTTCCAACTCTCCTGAAATTGTAGTGTCCCTTGATGCCGAAAAAGCCTCTGATAGGGTGGAATGGGGTTATCTGTACTTCATTTTAGACAAATTTGGTTTTGACTCTAACTTCATTCGTTGGATCCGTCTCTTATACACCGCCCCAACTGCTTCCATCTATACTAACAGTATGCAGTCACCACCTTTTCCTTTGTACCGAGGGAGACGCCTGGGATGCCCGCTATCTCCCTTGCTTTTCAATTTGGCGATAGAGCCTTTAGCGATTTGGCTTTGTAGCCAGGAAAGATTTGAGGGCATTACACGTTACAGTGTAGTCCATAAACTTTCTTCCCTCTACGCAGATGATCTTCTTCTTTACATTTCTAACCCCACCTCATCCCTTCCACCAATATTGGAAATTTTGGACCAGTTTAGCCAACTCTCTGGTTATAATTTGGAAAAGCGAGCTATTTTTTATTTGTAAGTCCCTTCCGCAGTCAATCTTTTACCCTTTAAAATAGCATTAGGGGGATTTAAGTACTTGGGAGTATTCTTCGCCAACTTATTTAATGACCTTTTCTCCAGTAATTTTCAGCCTCTGCTGGACATATTTAAATCAGACATAACCAGGTGGGCCTCCCTTCCATTGTCCCTTACGGGCCGTGTCAGCTTGATTAAAATGATCACACTCCCTAGGTTCTTATATACTTTTCAACATATCCCAGTGGTCATTAGTAAATCTTTTTTTGTCAACCTTGATCACCTGCTGAATATATTTTTATGAGACAACAAACCTGCGCATCTCAAGAGGTCCGTTCTTCAGCTCTCAAAGTCTGAAGGAGGCTTGGCGCTCCCTAACTTTCGTCACTACTATTGGGCTTGTAACATCAATAAATTACTCTACTAGGCCTAATGCAGAGCACTAAATGGTCTTCCACCTTGGGCTCATATTGAGGTCTCGTCCTCCTGTAACTCTCTATATGCTGTATTTTGCTCCCAGCTCCCCATATCTGTTAATAAAGCTTCTACTAATCCGGTTGTTACCAGTACTATTAAAATTTGGCTCCAATTTACACATTTTGGTTTTCATAGTGCCTCCATTTACACATTTTGGTTTTCATAGTGCCTCCATCCATATGCCCATCCTGAAAAACCACTTGTTTCCTCTGTCCTGTTCTGACCTGGTTTTCCGCATCTGGTCAAGTAATGGGCTTACCACAGTCTTTGAGTTTATCAACTAAATTCAACTTACCCAATAGTCACCTCTTTCGATTTTTTCAGGCCCAACATTTTGTTCAAAAGCTATTCCCCCACTTCCCCAAATGCCCCCCTGAAACCTATATCGATCAATTTTTTTTACTCTTGATCACTCCCAGAAGTGACTCATATCTGTTATTTATAATTAAATTAAAACTGTACAGGTAGCACCTACTGAAACCCTTTAAAATTCCTGGGAGGAGAACTATTCAGAACTGTACTATTTCAGACGACCATTGCACTCGCATCCTGGACCGGGTACATTCCTCATCTATATGTGCCAGACATGGCCTACTGCAGTGTAAGGTGCGCCACAAAGCTCACTTTACTAATGCTAGGCTGGCAAAAATATTTCCGAATTGAAGTGACCCCTGATTTGTGCCTGCCTGCAGCCTCACAATGTGTTATTGCCTTCACAACCTTACTGGCCAGACGTGCCATTCAAGCTTGAAAAGCTGAGATTTTCCCTGAAGGGTTCCTTGAGATCCTTTCACAGGACCTGAGATCCTATGCTTGATTTTATCAACAAAATAGCGATGCCTAAATATGTGAATCAAGAGGCTCTTTTTTTTCTTTTTTTTTGTAATTTATTTATTTTTATTTATTTACCCCCCCCCCTAATTTTATGTATACATTTGTACATATTGTAATTTATCATTTACATGTATTATTATTTACATATTGATTTAGACCACTCTTGTGTGATAGATATTCTGTTTATCTCTGTCAGATTCCCAGGGGCAGCTTTAGCTGGAAGTATGCGTTCTAAGGGGGTGGGTGGGTTAAGGTCGAAGGGTAAGGGGTTGATGCAGAAGCACACCTTTTGTTGTTTCACTTGAACAATGTAATATGTTTGTGATTCTACGAAATGCAATAAAAAGATTTGGAAAAAAAAGAAAACTGAAAAACAACAAAAATAGAGATACAAGGTTTTTTTCTGACAGCAACGATTTGATAAGAGTAGAATAAAATTAATAACGTTGATTAATACAGTAGACTGAGATCAGCTCGACTCCAGCTTTCCTTAAAGCGCAAACACAGAAACACACTCCTAACATTTCATTCACACACTTAAAAAACTAAAACTAAAGATTTATTCTCAGGAAATACATTGTGTTTTAGTCAGTTTTGCAGTCAACCTGTTTTTGTGTTTTTAAAAACTATCAATTTTATTTTCAAAAGTTAACAAGCACATTTTTTCACGGTTAGCTGTACTTTTAGTAATAATTTTAGAATCTGGTCAGATAAAATACTTGGTCTGAAAAAATGGTATTGATGCATCTCTATGTATTTTACATACTGTCTGAGCTTCTTTGGAGGGGAAGTTTGTACTGAACCTGTTTTTAAGCTGTTTTTACAGGGGACCTATTATGCTCATTTTCATAATTTTATTTTTAGGTCTACTAGAATAGATGTACACTTCAGTGTTCCACAAACACATTATTTTCCTCATGCTGTTCATCCATATTTACCCTTTGTCTGAAACGCTCTGTTAGAGCTCCTGTGTCTTTAAGCCTCACCTTCCGTTGAGCCCAGTGTGCTCTGATTGGTCAGCCTGCCCACTCTGTTCTGATTGGTCGGCCTCCAGAGCGGTTCCGCCCCTCCACGTTCCGCCCCTGTCCTGCAGTCTGCAGACAGACCCTTCTCTCCTGAGCAGCTGTAAACTCCGCTGTGGCTGTTTCTCCATCAGCGTCAGTTCTGCCGTATCAGTTTGATCCAGAATTGCTCCTGAAAGTCCGGTCAGCATCTTCTCCACATGGCTACAACACTGAACACACTATTCCTCCAGTAGCCACTGTGTGCTGAGCTTGCCAGTAGGCAGGCAGTGAGGGCTGTGTTACGAGATGATGTCATCTTGAACAGCTGGAAAAGCCTAATAGGTCCTCTTTAAAAACAGTATGAATAAACACATTTTTAAAGCTTATCTGTGAATATAGCTACAGATATTAATAACATGTTAATTGGGAGCACTTTAGAGGTGGACACAGTGCATGGTGATCATCCAGGGTGGGCTCGGCCCTCCCGAATGACCGCCCACACATACACACACGCACCACACACACACACACTGAGCCTGTCACTCAACCATCAACCAGGCACATTAAACTGGAGAAAGATTTATTATTCAAACATAACAGAGACATAATTACAGATATGATTAGTGCTGGAGATTATTTACAACAGAACGTTAATTAGAAGTAAGGAGCCAACAGCACAGACATCTGTATAAAACACAGCAAAAACACAGGAATCTTAGTTTTATATGAATTGTTTACATAATCACTGAGATGCTGGTTGTTTTGCCTATGAAGCTGGAATTAAAGAGCTGATAGGAAAACCTAAACCTGCTGTTTGTTTGTTTTGTTGGGTGTTTTTTCTGTGTTAGTGTGCAGTAGCTGGAACTCCTGTGCACTGTGTTTGACAAAAGAAAACAGCGCCTTTCTTGGGAATTCCTGCATGGAAACACACAGAAAGTTCAGCATAAGAGGTCGTAATAAGCTGCTGTTCAAATGATTTTTCATCTTCATTAAGGTGGCACTGATTTTTTTAACACAGATTCCCCGGATGTAGTTGATCAAACCAAATTTACTTTGTTTAGTTTTAGTGCTGGAGCTACGAAATTAATCTTGCTAACACTAGAATAGTCACTCATATCTTTTCTGTAAATACACCCACAAACATCTCTCAAACTGCATCCAGGTCTTGTTAAGGTCGTGCAGAGATGTGCTTTATAAACATAGACTAAACTTCACCGTGTAACTGAACTCTGCTAAATCCGGACGCTGGATTACATTTGCAATTTGTTGTTTTTTTTTTTCAAAGCATTAATTGTCAGCTCAGAAATTCAATAAGAGAAGTTATAAACGTAATCTGTATTTCTTGATGGGGAGGCCTGTGAAATTTTTTTAATTTTGTGTTTTTAATTTTTTTTTTAAATTGTAATGTAAATTTGTTTGACGATTCAAAGCAATGCAACGTATCGTGTACCCCCCACTCCAAAAGGAACAGCAGTTACACACAAAAACAAAAGATGCCAGATGTCTAGTTCAAGCAAATAGACAGGTTTAAGAAACGTGGGAACTTTTAAAAAGGTTTAATTACTTGATGTACACACTTGAAAAATCATTCTTCAGATTGATAGAGAATGTGTTTTACATGATTCTATATAGGACCTTTTTGAAAAGGGTTCTATATAGGACCAAAAATGGATCTGCTATAGTTACAGGCTTAACATCGCTTGGAATATATTCAAATATTGTTTATCAACTGCTCATTCTAGAGGAATAGGACTGTAGTGGGAGCACCAGACTGTCAGGTGTGACTGTGTGGTGGTTGAAAATGGTTTAGGTGGCTCAGGGGTCAGGTAGGAGGACCCCTTTTAGCCCCCCAGAGAAGTTAGGACTAGCTTCGATGAGAATGAATGGAAATGTGTAACCGCGTATGAACATCAAAGCCTCATAGCTCCAGCGCTAAACTAAAGACGCAAAATTTGGGTTCCAAACGTGTCTCAGCCAGTCAATAAGATCTGGGCTAAAAGGGAACATTGCGTGAATCAGATGTTTCGCCGTTATTTCTGCGTCAGCGTGCAGCAGGTGAAGTAGCTGGCTCTGCTGGAGCTCCAGTGTAGCGGCCTATAGATCTGCTGCATGGCACATTGCCACAAGCTGGGCACGCTATGGAACTTCAGCAGCCGTTTCTGCCCTCTGCGGCCCTCGGCGGGCACCGGGCTCTCTGGGATCTGTGCCAGGGTGCCAGGGGGCAGGGCTTCCCTCAGGTTGTGGGCGGAGTCTGGCCTGGAAGGTGGAAGTTCTGCACTGCAGCTCATGGAGCGCGTGGCTCGTCTCTGGCCCTGACGCACCAAGTGCTTATCGATCATGGGCTCCAGCCTCATCCTGCCCTCGGCCAGGCGGTTGCCGAGCTTCTCTGCCTCCTGCTCCTGCCACAGGGTCTCCTGTTCGTCCTCGGAGGCCTCAGTGTCGGTGCTAAGGCTGAGGGAGAGCGGGCGGGCGCCAAACCCGGGCTTGATCAGCTCGGCGGCCGTACGCTGGATGATGCTCCAGTCCCTGTGGATGTCCTCGGGCTGGGTGAACTGGGACGTCACGGTGAAGCGGATGATGAGTTTGGTGCCCACGGCGGCTGGGATCAGGAACATGGTGCCTGACTGAGTTAACCTCCTCAGGAGCTCTTGGGTCAGTGCGTTTCCACCCTGATTGACACAAACAATAAACGTGTTAATGGTCCGGCCTTTTTCCACATTGTGGCATTAGCTAGCTAACCCTGCGTTCACATTAGGATATACTATACACATTCCTACACATTCCCATGATGCACTGCACAAAAAGCCAGAGTTCAGCCAAAAGAAGCTGCCATTTAGTGAAGCAGCTATTTTACCATCTGACAAATGTTCAGCAAAAACTCTTTCTACATGTTACTGTATCTATGTTTTAGTTGTATTTATACTGTTACATAGTGTCTGTACATACAAAAACATTACCGTGTATAAATGATTTTATATTTCATTCAGAAATGGGCTCTGTGCTCTTTATTCTGTTGGTGATTAAAAATGCATCCAACATTTATCTTGTTTGAGACGTTTATTCTCTTAAAAACTACCCACTGAGGTATTAAATCCATATTATTGACCAGATTTTGTAAATAAAATGAATATTCACTGGAACAATGTTAATGCCAATTAATACATATATATTCAGCAGGGAAATCTACCAGCTCGCTAAAACATATGAACAGTCCACTCAGCTGACCACAGCTTCATTCAGCACTTCAGCTCAACTCGGCTCTGACCACGCAATGCACCATGGATATGCAGACCCAATGGGCACACTTAGCATCTCCTGTTCACATCCTGTTCACGGTCATTTTCTGGGGAAGCAGCGATTTGGAAAAACAAGTAGGGATGGATTGCTGACCGGCCAGTCAGCGATCAAATACCAGGAATGATCCACTCAAAGTAAACACAAAATTAACTAATAGCCATTGAATATGTACAAACGACTGTACAAGTTAAATAAGTTATCTGTTCTCAGCTGCCGTTAGCTGTATATAATTACTGACTGCTGTCTTGTTGCTGCTATTAAAATGAGATGATTTAGACGGTGATTCTGTCTTGAAAGAAACTTGAAAGAAAACATAACTGTACACTAAAACCGAAACCTTCTAATTTTCCAGATGTAACTGAAACCTTCTAATTCTCCAAATATTCCGGTCTTCCAAATCTTTCAATTTTACACAAAATGTTTTTAATCTTCTAATTTTATACAAAACTTCCAATTTTCCAAATATTCCAATTCTACACAGAAACTGTCAAATTCTACACAAAAAGCTTCCAATTTTATGCAAAACCTTTCAACTATACACAAAAATGTTCTATTCTTACATGTAAATATGTTGAAATCTGATAATATGACATCAGACTGTAAGTATTGTTATGAAAAAAATCAAATCTTAAAAAAAAAAGAAGCTATGTAAAGATGTCTGTTTTCTCAGGGGGGTGGGGGGAATGGGGATGGGAGGGTCAGGGTAACTCTCCGGTCCAAATAAAAGTCTTGAGGGCTGCACTTTGGACTGTCCTGCTCTGCACTAGGAGTTTATCTTATCTGCCATGCGTTTGTGAAACGTCCTGATGGTTTAGCTGTGTTTTTCTTAGATTTCTCTGATAGGTCGCTCTGTTCTCCTCTGTAAACTCTCTGGAAGCCTCAGGTTCTTCTCTCCTTTGGACTCTAGGGTTAAAGGCTAACAATCATTAGCCAGTGAGCCTGATTGCACAAGTCCATTCAGTGGTGAACTGGACACTCGTCTCTGCTTTATCTGCCCACAGCAAGCAGAGCAAAGGCTCCATTTACAAGCTTCAGTCCACTAAGATTACACAAACACTGAGAGGAGGCTTCACAGCACAACTTAAATATTACCAAAATCACCATCCGGTCAAACATCACATACCTGCAACAAAAGTGTGGAAAACAATAAAAATACATTTTAATATGTTTTAATATTGCATCACATTAAGGTGTGCTGTAATATGCTGTGTGAAATGATATTACCAGTTTTATTTTCTCCTTCAAATGGGAAAATTGTGTATATGTAATTACTATTTTATTATATAGTAATGCTATATATATATTTGAGATGATAATCCAAAGTCAATTTATGAAAGACACAAATTTAGGCTTGTCAACCCGACGATGGGACACCTTACAACCAATCAGGGACAGCCTTCTGATCAACCAGGCCAATCAGGGACGTCTTTCTGTTTGGCTTTGTTTGTACTCTTTAGTGTTTTTTGTTATTTATTATTGTGTTATTGTTTGTGTTTAGTGTTGTGTTATTGTTTGTGTTTAGTGTTGTGTTATTGTTTGTGTTATTGAAGTGTTGTTTTATGTTTGTGTTGTTTGTGTTGTTGATGTGTTGTATTCTGTTTGTGTTGTTTAGTGTTAATGTTGTGTTGTGTTTTTACTGTAGTGTAATTGTTTGTGATATTTAGTGTTGTGTTATTTGTGTTGTTTAGTGTTTAATGTTGTGTTGTGTTTTCGTGTTGTGTTATTTCTGTTGTTTAGTGTTGTGTTACGTGTGTTTGTGTTGTTGAGTTGTTGTGTTATGTTTTTGTTGTTGATCTGTTGTGTTATGTTTGTGTTGTTTAGTGTTGTGCTATATTACTGTTGTTTAGTGTTGTGTTATGTGTGTGTTGTTTGTGTTGTTCAGTGTTGTATTATGTCTCTGTTGTTTGTGTTGTTGTTGTGTTATTGTTTGTGTTGTTTAGTGTTGTGCTAATGTTTGTGTTGTTATTGTGTTGTTGATGTGTTGTTTAGTGCGTTTTGTTCAGTGCTGTGTTGTTTAGTGTTATGTTATTGTTTGTGTTGTTTGGTGTTGTGTTATTGCTTGTGTTGTTTTGTGTTGTGCTAATGCTTGTTATCCTGTGTTGTATTATGTTTTTGTTGTTTGTGTAATTATTGTGTTGTTGATGTTTAGTGCGTGTTGTTGTTCCATGCGGTGTTGTTTAGTGTGGTATTATTTTTGTGTTGTCCAGTGTTGTGTTATTGTTTATTGTTATGTTGTGTTATTGTATGTGTTGTTGTCTTATGTTTTCTGTTGTTTAGTGGTGTGTTATTGTTTGTTGTGATGTTGTTGTGTTATTGTCTGTGTTGTTGTTGTGTTATGTTTTGTGTTGTTTGGTGTGGTATTCTTGTTTGTGTTATTTAGTATTGTGTTCTTGTTTGTATTGTTTATGTTTGTATAGTTGTTTGTGTTGTTCTTGTATTATTGTTTCTGTCGGCTCACCACGAGGCAGAAGACCACCAGTCCCAGGTGTCTCTCTGCTGGAATCTGAAAGTTGGAGTCACTTCTGACCAGAGACTCAAACAGTTTGGCCATCTCCACCCCCTGCAGAGAGACAGCAGAGCTGAGCCAAGCTCTTCTTAAAGAGACAGTGCACCCAAAATTTCTAACTGCCTCAGTTTTACCCCCCAAATATACCCCTCCAACCAACTCTATTAGAGATACTGAACTCCACCACACGCTGTGAGGAGAGATTCTAATGGTTTAGGCCTGCAGTTAGCATCATGCTAATTGGTGGGGTATAAGCTTCCATTACTCAGTAGCCTTGTTGATAAAGCTAAAGAAGCAAAACCCAGACACCAAATATAAACTGTCCAAATTTAATTGCCTCAGATTCAGAAGCCATGTGTTGGCAGCTGTATTTGGGTTAGGCGGGGCAGGGGGTTGGTTCTGGGTAAATCTGGGTATTTTTTTCCCAAAATATCACTTTAAAGACAGTTCAGCTGAGAAGTGTGTAGTTTTTTGGGTGTAGTATCACTGACAGCAATATGTGTAGTTCATTCATGAGTAAATGCCCCTCTAACCGCACGTGTTTTTATCAGAGTCAATATGTCAGAGCTACAGCGCCCTCTGCTGGACACCAGCTGCTTCAGAAACTCGAGCCACTGAGTCACCTTCCTGTCAGTCTCATTATCATCAGCTGCTCCCTCAGTGTAACAGGCCACAATTCATTTCAGTAAAAACTGTTCTCATGACAGGGATGATGATGATTATGATGATGAAGTGCTGACAGAGTGAATTAAATCACTCAGTGTGTGTTAGAGCAGAGATGGGTTTAGAGTACTGCGTGTGGGTCTGTAATGTAAGCTGAGCAGCAGCGGCAGCAACAGCGCCCCCTGCTGTGTACAGAAACACTCACGTGTCTAATGTGAGCCTGAAGGTTCTTCAGACCAAACGAGCGCATCACAAACCACAGCTTTAATGAGCGAAAACGACGACTCAGAGGAATCTGCCAGTGCTGCAGAGAGAGAGAGAGAGACAGAGAGTGAGATTCAGAGAGAGAGCGTGAGAGAGAGGGAAAGAGAGAGAGAGCGAGATAGAGAGAGAGGGAGAAATATGAGATAAGAAAGATGAACATAATTTGGTAGATTTTAAAATCATAATTGTTAACAGTGCTACAGTGTGTGTGTGTGTGTGTATGAGTAGGTGTGTGTTTGTATGAGTGTGTGTATGAGTGTGTGTGTGTGTGTGTGTGTGTGTGTGTGTGTGTGTGTGTGTGTACCATAAAGTCTGTAGCCCCTGAGTTGTCGTGTCTGAGATACAGAGGATCCACACTGAACGTCTGCTGCAGTTTAAACTTATCCTTCACCCTGCACCAACAAAACACTCTATTAACCTGTTATTTATCTTTATAAGCACACTATTAACCTATTATTAACTCTTATAAACACATTTTTAACCTATTATTAACTCTTATAAACACACAACTATTAACCCATTGTTACATCTCATAAACACCCATCTTTAACCTTTATAAACACATGGTTAACACATTATAACTAACTCTTTTACTTTCTTTCTCTCTGTTCTCTTTCTCTGTTCTCTCTCTCTCTCTGTCACTCTCTCTCTCTCTCTCTCTCTCTCTCTCTCTCTCTCTCTCTCTCTCTCTCACCAGAATGCAGTACAGTCGAAGTGAACCATCATCCACTTTGATGGATTAAAGACGAACGAATCAGCAAATTCCACTCCGGACAGAAAGTACCTCAGCTCGGGGCAGAGGAGGGCAGAGCCAGCATATGCTGCGTCCACATGCAGCCAGAGACCCTCACGAGCACCTGCACGCACACACACACACACACACACACACACACACACATCACTCTACTGCACACAGTCGATGCTTTGAATCATTTTCAGTTATGTGCAGAAGTCAGTCAAGTAGCATGTTGCTGTTGAATTTTAAAAAAACAATCGGAAAAAAAACATAACTTTTCATTACAGGCAACAATTTATGTTCTAATTTGTCCCAGTATGTTACAGGGGAACTCTACCAATTTATAACTCTCCATTATTAAACGGTTAAGATGTAAACAGAGTCATTCAGAGTGGTTTGGTGTGAAATGCTCCATTCTAAAGAAACTTACCAAGTCAAAATTGTACACAGTGGTGGTGACAGGAACCAGACGTCCACCTCTTAAAGCTCCCTCACAGAAAGTCATTGCATGAAATGGTTATGAGTACACTGCCTAATGTCTGTTTTATGATAGTTTTGAGAACTTATAATAGATTCATGGTGAAGGGATACATGCAGGGCGCTGTGAGGCAAAATAGTCCCCAAAGAAAACTTATTGTTACAGATTTTCCACTATTTTCCCATCATCAACTTTCCATATAAAACTCAGAAGACTCATGTAGGTTCACTGGTGGTTTTGGATAGTAAATAATATGGCTATATTTGTGTTGTAGTCATGGTGACCCCTGGTTCTTATCAGCACCACTGTAAAGAAATCTGAACCATTTTACACCAAACCGCTCTGAATCACTATGTGTACATCTCACACTGAAGTATGGGGGAATTTTGAAAAAAGGTTGAAATTCCCCTTTAAATTCAGTAGATAAACAGTAACTGTGTATTAAAATGTGTAGAAGTGTGTCTCTGTAGAGGATGTGTTAATATATTTACACTTAGATTCAGAGAGAGTGGAGACAGAGAGACTTACAGATGGGTCCCAGCTCAGCCAGACAGTCGAATGAACACACACCTGTAGAGCCCAGTGTAGCACACAGCTACACACACACACACACACACACACAGTGAGATTAGATTAAGTTTAATCTGCTCAATAAAGTGTACAGTCGTATCATGTCTAGTTCACTTCTTCTAAAGTTGAATACTTTGTTTTCGAGGCAGCGGATGTAAAGGAATGACTGCTCTTTTAGGGCTAGCATTAGCCTAGCACTGACACCAGAGCACTTGTGTTTCCCCAAGTAGTGCCTGAGGAGCTGCCTAACTCGCTCAGCTGCATTAGACACTGTCGTCATCTCCAACTAATATTATAATATTAATAATATTTTCTAAATTCCAGCAACATCTGACAGAGGTGGTGGTGGGGGTGATGGGGAGGAGGGTACAGGATGCACACATCAGACAAACAACTGGGGAAAGTTGGCTTCTTATTCTAATTTCCCGTTCCACCTTAAATGGTGCAGGAGTTACATTCAGCTGACTGTACAGGCCAGTATATAGCTGCTGCTCTATTTAAGGTGGAATGGAAAATTCCAACCGAGCACTGGTGACTAAGAAATCATCAGAAATTTTAATTACACCCTGATGTACATTTTTGGCCACACCTCCCACGACCAGTCTGACCGCTCAAACACTCACAGACTGCACAGCATACTGTTTACTGCTTAAACCGAGATACTGTATGATGCCAATCAGAGCTACACATACTGATCTGTTCACTTACTGAGAAGCAAACAGACAGACAGACAGACAGAGTGTTAGTCACCATGACAGGCAGTAGTCCTCTCCTCCGGTCCTCCTGAATGGCTCTCTGCAGCGTTTCTCCTCTCAGAGAGAACTTCTCATCCGTCTCCAGAAAACGGATCTTCACCAGAGAGATCAGACCAGCCTTCTCCACAGATGAGTGAGCCTTCACACACACACACACACACACACACACACATACAGCACACCCAAACACAACACACAAACACAACACACACAAACACAACATACCCACATACAGCACACACCAACACAACATACACACACACACATACAGCACACCCAAACACAACACACAAACACACAAACACGACACACACAAACACAACACACACAAACAGCAAACACAAATGCAACTCACAAACACAGCAGACACAAACATGATGCACACACAAACACAACGCAAACACAACAAATACAACCAATACACAACAAACACAAATAATGAGCATACAAGTACATGTATAATTAACGTTTAAATAATAATAGATAAAATAATAGATTAAATAATAATAGAGTGAACACTTCTTTGTTCTTAACACTTATCATTCAAATAACTATAAATTATTCTGTATCTATGAATTATTCATGATCCACTATGAATTATTCAGGATCTGCTATCAATTATTCAAGAACTATGAGTTATTAAGTATTTACTATGAATTATTCAGTAACTATTCCGCATCTATTAGGAATATTTCAGTGTCCACTATGAATTATTCACTATCCATTATGAATTATTCAGGATCTACTGTAAATGTGCTGTAGGTGCAGTACTGTGCGGTCTGTATTACCTGGTCAGATGCGTAGGCAATGAGTCTGGAGTTCAGAATGGACTCATCTGTGTCTGTGAGTGAGTCGTTGAATGTCTCTGTAGAGTCTCGGCTTTTCATCTGCAGGATTTTATCTTTGCGGGCAGCCAGCAGGGCAACTAGCGTACACTCACTGACCGTACTCTGAACACACACACACAGTAAAACACTCACTGACCATACTCTAAACACACACACAGTAAAACACTCACTGACCGTACTCTAAATACAACACACACAGTAAAATGCTCAATGACCGTACTCTGAACACGCACACACACACACACACTTACACAGTAAAACACTCACTGACTGTACTCTAAACACACACACACACACACACACACAGTAAAACACTCACTGACCGTACTCTAAATACAACACACACAGTAAAATGCTCAATGACCGTACTCTGAACACGCACACACACACACACACTTACACAGTAAACACTCACTGACTGTACTCTAAACACAACACACACACACACACACACACACACACACACACACACACACACACACAGTAAAACACTCACTGACCGTATTCTAAGCACAACACACACGCAATAAAACACTCACTGACTGTACTCTAAACACAACACACACACACACAGTAAAACACGTACTGACCGTACTCTACAACGCAATACACACAGAGAGCAAAACACTCACTGACCGTACTCTAAACACAACACACACACACACACACACAGTAAAGCACTCACTGACCATACTCTAAACACAACACACACAGTAAAACACTCACTGACCATACTCTAAACACAATACACACACTGGTGGTACTGTATTTAGCCCTGCTAGTACTGTATTTAGCCCGTTATTACTATATTTTGCCCTAGTGATACTGTTTTTAGCACTGGTGGTGCTGTATTTAGCACTGGTATTACTGTGTTTAGTGCTGGTGTTACTGTGTTTAGCACTGGTGCTACTGTTTTTAGCACTGGTGGTACTGTATTTAGTGCTGCTGTTGCTGTATTTAGTGCTGCTGTTGCTGTATTTAGTGCTGCTGTTGCTGTATTTAGCACTGATGTTACTGTATTTGGCACTACTGTTACTGTATTTAGTGCTGGTGTTACTGTATTAGTGCTGGTTTTGCTGTATTTAGTGCTGGTGTTACTGTATTTAGCGCCAGTAGTACTGTATTGCTACTCAGGCTCACCTGCAGGATTCCTCCTCCACGGCTGTCTGGGTGGTGGTGCAGAAAGTGATCTGGCAACCCAAGAGCTTTACACAGCCAGTCCATAACACACATCTCCAACTCTGTACAGGCAGGACTCGAAGCCTTCAATACACACACAAACACACACACACACACACAAGTGAGTCTCACATGAGTGATGAGTCTCAAGCGTGTACAGGTGAGTGATGGGTCTCGAGCATGTACAAGTGAGTGATGAGTCTCAGGCATATACAGGTGAGTGATGAGTCTCAGGCATGTACAGGTGAGTGATGAGTCTCAGGCATGTACAGGTGAGTGATGAGTCTCAGGTATGTACAAGATAGTGATGAGTTTCAGGTGTGTACAGGTGTGTGATGAGTCAGGTGTCTACAGGTGAGTAATGAGTCTCAGGTGTGTTATTAGAGTCAGGTGTGTACAAGTGAGTGATGAGTCTCAGGTGTGTACAGGTGCATGATGAGTCTCAGGTGTGTACAGGTGAGTGATGAGTCTCAGGTGTGTTATTAGAGTCAGGTGTGTACAGGTGAGTGATGAGTCTCAGGTTTGTACAGGTGAGTGGTAAGTCTCAGGTGTGTACAGGTGAGTGATGAGTCTCAAGCGTGTACAGGTGAGTGATGGGTCTCGAGCATGTACAGGTGAGTGATGGGTCTCAGGCATATACAGGTGAGTGATGAGTCTCAGGCATGTCCAGGTGTGTTATTAGAGTCAGGTGTGTACAGGTGAGTGATGAGTCTTAGGTGTTAGAGTCAGGTGTGTACAGGTAAGTGATGAGTCTCAGGTGTGTTATTAGAGTCAGGTATGCACAGGTGAGTGATGGGTCTCAGGTGTGCGCTGTGTTACCCAGGTGAAGCCAAGGCAGTTGATGGCATCAGCCAGCATGTCGCCCAGCAGAGACGGCCATGAGTTCAGTGCAGGAAAATATGCGTGCATGTGGGGACTCTGCCAGTGCACCACCTACAGGACACACACACAGGATTATGGGTTCTAGACTGCTGAGCTAACTGTCACTGCTGTAGTTTTTTTGAGTGGTGGTCAATATTATGTCCTAATGTAAATGCGTGGTTTCTAAATGTAGTGCTTTACTAAGATACAGACTGCAGAACCACACACAGACTGTCCAACACAGCAGAAAAAAATGAAAAAAAGAAGAAATAAAGCACAAAGCAAAAAAAGAGAGAAAGAAAGAATGAAGGAAAGAATGAATGAAGGAAGGAAAGTAAGAAAAAAATAAAGACAGAATGAATGAATGAAGGACAGAAAGGAGGAAAAACAGAAAGACAGAAAGAAAGAAAGAAAGAAAGCAAGAAAGAAAGAACAAACAAAGGAAGAAAGAAGGAAGGAAGGAAAGAGAAATGAAATAAGGAAATGAAGTTCCAGGGTGTGGGTTAAGCAGTAAGAGTTCTGAGTTCTGACCCCGGGCATGATGATGTTCTCCACGTCCTGCAGGATGTTCTCCCAGGGTTCCGGCTCGCAGGGAGCAGAGGGGGGCAGCAGGGGGCGCAAAAATCCTGGCTGGACATCAGGGAGCACACGCCTGGAGCGGATCTCTGTCAGGTACTGACCAATATAATCCACCAACTCCTTACCTACAAACACACACACACACACACACACACACACACAAACACACACACACACAAATATACACATATAGATATATTTAAATATATATACATACATGCATACATACATATTTACATGCATGTGTACATGTACATACATAGTCAATAAAGATATAAAACCTCTCTTTTGAAAATATACTGTACTATATTATGTAAGATATGAAAATTAAAACATAAAACTGACATTTTATGTATTAAAATAAAAATCATTAAAATTAAATAAATTCTGTTTTATTATTTTTTACTATTTGAGTTTCATCATAAGACATTATTATCATTTTTATAAAAGCTACAAAATTTGTTCTAATTACTTAAGAGGAAAATATGAAGTCAGTTTTACAAAAACTAGTTAAAAAACATGAAGCATGCATAAAATTATATATATATATATATATATATATATATATATATATATATATATACACATATATATATATATACACACACACACATATATATATATATATATATATATATACATATATATATATATATATATTATAATACATTTGAAGAAAATATAAAACATTTACATTTACAGACTGACCGAACAGAGCTGAAATATTAACAGAGCATAAATATGTCCATATGCCCATAACCATTTACTAGAGGGTGTGTGAAATTTCATCTTTCAATCAGTTTTCAAATTTATGTTTTTACCAAATTGAGGTTTTATGCAGGCTTCCACCAGTTCTATCAAATCTATAAATTATTCATTTATGTCTGTAATATTTGAAGAAAGTTTTGAAAAGTGAGAAATGGCTGCTAAACGTTTATTTTACAGTGCTTTCTGATCATGTGTTTTCTCAAACATTAATAATTCTATTTCATCAAACATTTTCCTGGATAAGAACGCTTGATTCTCATTAACATATTAAAATGAATGATGTGCTCTGACGCCTTCAAGGTTTAATGCGTTTTTCAACATCACATTTAAATTACATTAGATAGAAACAGTAAAAAGCAGATGTAAAAATTTCCAAATGAAGCGGAAAGCCTGAGCTTCCAGAGATGAACATTTTCTTTCAATTCTTTTTGTTGAAGCTGTTTTACTATAGAATGTAAACAATTCTGAAAAACCGACTGAAATATTCAAATTTAAAGGATGAAAAAACCCTTTAAAAATATGGTTCTTCATAGGGTTCTTTAGTAAAGATGATGTTCTATATACAACCATGAACACCCAAACACCTGCTTAACTGGTTCTCTGCATGGTGAAATGGTTTTTCAGACTGATGGAGAATGTGCTGTAGATGGCTCTGCTGTTGTTACGACGCCAAGCTTAAAACAATAGCAGAACCCTTTTTGGTGCTATATAGAAGCAACACATTCTCCATTAATCTGAAGAATCATTTCACCATGCAAAGAACCATTTAAGCAGGTGAAGAGTTCCTTGAGTGTTCATGGTTCCATATAGAACCACTGTCTTTACTAAGGAACCCTTGAAGAAGTTTTAAAGAGTGTATAAAATCACTTTATGATCATTATTTTTTTTTAATTGTTATTTCTCTCCTCAGCATCGTGCCGGTCAGTCGGTCGTGTCCCCTGCGGTGGTCAGCACTGTGCTGGTCATTCTTACCTCTGCGTGTGTACTCCTCTGCCTGCATGTTCTATGTTCTCTGTGAGCTGAGTGAGGGCCCAGTGAGGATGGATGGAGAGATGATGTGGTCTCCAGAAGCGTGGTGTTTTATAGCACTACCCCCACCCCCCTCTGCCATGTGTGCTCTGTGCTCGGCCGCTGTGGTTAGATAAGAGAGCGTCCGTCGGCTGTTTGAGGAGACTGATGAGCTCTTAGTCCATCAAACACAGAAGAAAAGCTCTGATCTCACATGCGCCGCAACTGGGCACCACTGCAAACACAGCGTGAGAACCTCATCAGCTGATCACATCAACTCTATCATCACCCAGCACACACACGCAGGGCACACGCAGTGCACACGCACACACAGCACACACTGCCCATTCACCCACAGTACACACACACACACACGCCCCCAATACTCACTGCCCATTCACCCACAGTACACAAGTACACACACACACGCAGTACACACGCATAACAGACACACACGCCCCCACAACACACAATGCCCATTCATCTACAGTACACACACACACACAGTTCACACACATAAGCCCCCACAACACACACTGCACATTCACTCACAGTTTACACACACTGCACATTAACACACAGTTCACACACACACACACCTGGCACACACACGCAGTACAGACACATACACACACATAGTTCACATACACATGCCCCCACAACACACACTGCACTTTCACTCACAGTTCACACACACATTCATAGTACAGATGTAGTGGACACGCACTCATGCCCCCACAACACACCTTGCTTACTTACCCACAGTTTACACACTCACACACCCAGCACTGTGCTCCTCACAGGGCAACTCCACACAGATTACCAAACTCCAGCAGAATTAAAGGGTTAACAAGCCTAACTGTTCACAGTGGAGCTCAGAGAAACCAGCATATTTACATAAGAGTAGTAGGAAAGAAAATCTGCTAAAATGTGTTTTTACTTCACTCTTTAGAAAAAGTGAAAAAAATTGTTATCCTTCAAAACTTTTTTCAAACTTTTTTCTTAAGAACAATTCTAACACAGCAAAAAATAAAAAATAAAAAAAAATATCTTTTCAAGTAACATTATCCTAAATATACTCAATAAATTAGTCATTATTTCTATTGTTGTTTTAAGCCCAATTTTAGATTATTTAAGTTGTTTCTAGACATTTTTACTTGTTCTAAGTAACTTTATTAAGTAAAATTAGAAAATTTGGTAATTTTGCTTGTTGTAAGAAATGTGCTTGAAACCGCCAAAATTATCTGCTAATATAGTGAGATAATTTTAATTGATGAAATGCCTTAAGCCAAGTAAACTCTAGAAAGAATCTAGATAATGTTATAAGTGAACAACCATCTCAAAATGGGAAATATTACATATAGAGTAGATTTAAGATCATTTGACTTGAGAAGATACAACAAGAACTTATTTTAGACCTTTTTCTGAAGTGACTCTGCACTCTTACAACGGATGGTTCTTTTTCAGTGAAGGGAATGGTTATAAAGCATAAGTTCCTTCTAGAACCATTTCATGCTTAAAGGGTTCTGTGCATGGTAAAATGGTTCTTCAGATTGATGGAGAATGTGTGGGCTCTATATAGCACCAAAAAGGGTTCTTCTATTGTTATGATGTCAAGCTTTTGACAATATCAGAACCCTTTTTGATGCTATATACAACCATTTTCAAGAAGGTACTATGTAGAACCATATACAGAGTGTTTATGGTTCTATAAAGAACAAATTTCTTTACTAAAGAACCCTTGAGGAAGCATCATTTTTAAGTATGTACCTTTGATTAAAACAATTATATCAAAAATGATTCATGATTATAGTCGTAGTTTTTATTTTTCAACTTTCTAAAAATATTTATAACAGAAATTATTTCATACTTTTCTTGAAAATAAATAAAACAGAACTTATTTTAGACCTTTTTCTGAAGTGACTCTACACTCTACGCAAAAAATAATAAGTAAAGGGAATAGTTCTGAACCATGAGTTCTATCTCAAACCATTTTGTACATAAAGGTGTTCTGTGTATGTTGAAATGGTTCTATATAAAACCATTTTCAAGAAGGTTCAATATAAAGAACCATATACAGTGTTCATAGTTCTATATAGAACCATCTTTTTTAATGTAAAGTGAGTGTTGAGGATGAGGAGCAGCAGAGGCAGCACTGAGTTTGATAAATTTAGATGCTCAACTTCTTGACTCTCACAGCCTGAGACAAGTGAGAATCTGTAGGATTAAGAACACATTTAAGAACCTCAAAGGTGAGAACAGTCATGCACTTTAAGAACATGTCCTGAATCTGACATAGACCTTTTCTTAGGACCTTTCTCAAGAATACATTTAAGAACAAACTTAGGAAGACATTGAAGAATGAGACCCTATGTTCTCATAAAAATGTAGTTCTCAAATAGTTGTTTTTGAATGTAGGCTGTGGATTATTTGTCATATAGACTATGAATTTAATGCACATCTTATTTCCATTAATGTGTTATTCATTTTAATCATATCAGGGCAGTGAAATGAAGGGGAACAAAATTGTAAATCAAACCAAATTTAGCAAGAAAGAACTATGATGGTGGAGGAGACAGCAAACAGGAGAATCTTCTTGAGTCTATTTTAACTATTCTACTTCAGAAAACTCATTAGTTGCAAGTTGCAGTTTAAGAGGTTTACCTGGTCCATTATCACAGTCTATGACTGTATAAGTGAGACTGCTGGGAGGTTAGGAAAATATTTAACAAAGTTTTTTTTAAGAATATTGAATATTAAGAAACGAAGAAAATTCCTAAGATTTTTTTTAAAAAAAGAAAGTATGTTGTGAAGAAAAAAGTACATTTTGAGAAGATTGTCTTTCTTAAGATACTTTTGTGAGTCCAGTCCACCTCTAAAGGCTCCCTCACAGAAAGTTATTGCATGAAATGGTTATGAATTCACTGCCTGATTTATGAGACATTATTTAATGATAGTTTTGAGAGCTTAAAATCGATTCATTGTGGAGGGATATATGCAGGGCAAAATAGTCCCCAAAGAAAACTTATTATTACAGATTTTCCACTATTTTCCCATCATCAACATTCCATATAAAACTCAGAAGACGTGTAAGTTCACTAGTGGTTTTGGATAGTAAATAAAATGGCTATATTTGTGATGTAGTCATGGCAACGCCTGGTTCCTATCACCACCACTGTAAAGAAATATGAACTGTTTCACACCAAACCACTCTGAATCACTCTGATTACATCCTAAACACTGAATTATGGGGGAATTATGAAAAACAGGTGGAATTCCCCTTTAAATTACATCACCAGTCAAAGGTTTGGACTAGCCTACTCATAGAACAAGTTTTGTTTTTCTTCTCTAAATTATTTTTACTACTTTACACATTTTAGAAGATACTTAAATATGAAATACTTCACATGGATGTCAGAAATACTGGACTTCTGCCAAACAGAGCTATTTAGACTCCGCCTCCCTCATCACAGCATACCTGAGGTGCGTTAACGAGGATGCTCTACTAATTAACCTTCAATGGGAAGTGTTAAGTGTTAATGTAGAAGGGTTGATAGTAATTAAGATTAGCATTAAATGGTCACAGTTACCACCTCTACATTTTCCACTTCTAAATTACACTGAATAAAAACTACTTGTTTTTTAAAAATATTATTAAATTATTTTTTTGTTTTGGACTTAAATTTGTGCACATGTATCAATTCAAATGTTGATAGGTACTTATATTTCTCTTTGAAACAAATTTTAAGCATGAGCTTTTATTTCAAAAACATCATGTGTGTTAACCTTTGGCACGTTAAAAAAAAAAAGGCATTAATAACACGTTTTAAAAAGAAAATTCATTCATTAAACCTTTTTACATCAATCAGTACACAGAGCAGATCACTCGCTTCCAATAAACAGCTACAATAATGAACACACAGCGCAGTGACATGTAGAACAGTAACCTCTCTCTCTCAGCTGGGTCTCATTAACAAGGTTTTAAAGTGACAGTCCACCAGAGACTAATCTAACACTCCTGATTAAGTACCTTAATACCTTTACTCTCCAAAAGTCCAGATTCATTCACGTGAAAAGAAGCAAGTGAACGAATTGGTGCAAAACTAAAAGCAGACCATAATGGTGAATTGATGTGTTTGAGAAGTGAAAAAAATCAACTGAATGATGGAACAATAATGTTTTACTGTATTTACACTGCGTTATTGTCCAGAGGCTCACACTGTCTGAGTTACAGCTACGCAGACTTGAGGCTGTTACACACCAAACACAATGAGGAGAAATGATACCAGTGCAAAAGTGCAAAATATTCCTGCACGATTTTTTTGCATCAAAGCTGTAGACGTCAGAGCCGACGCAGTTTGTTTGTGCTACAAAAAAGCGAAAGGAGAAGAGTTTCACCACCTTAAGTGTGTTCTTGAGAAAAGTCCTAAGAAAAAAGTCTACTTCAGATAAATGTGTTCTTAAAGTGGAGAACTGTTCTCACTATTGTGCTCTTTAGTATAGATTCTGTTCTTACCTGAGAAAAAACCCAAATAAGACAACAGTGGTGAATGTCAGAATCTCCATTAAAACTGCATAAGTGGGGTTGAGAAGAAATTTCCTCTTAAGATCAGTTGGTTAAAGTAGGCCCAATATGTATGGATTATGGTCAGATCACTCAAACCAGGAGTGTCAGAGACAGATCTGAATGCACTTAACGTGAGTGTAAATGGAATGTGTTTCTATTCAGAAATTTCTTCTTTAAACCCACGTACGCAGTTTTGACGAAGATTCTGACATTGACCAATGGGATTTGTTCTTAGGTAAGAACAGAATCTACACACACTCGAGAGCACAAAGGTGAGAACAGTTCTGCGCTTTAAGAACATGTCATGAAACTGACGTAGACTTTTTCTTAGGACCTTTCTCTAGAACACATTCAAGAACAAATTTAGGACGACATTGGAGAATGAGGACCAAGGAAATGAAAGACGAAGGATAAGCGAGGCTGGAGTTTCCTAAACCAGCAGCCTTCTCTCACTGTGGGTCGAAAGCGTCCAAATCAAACTGGACTCCTATAGTAACAGGGAAAAGAGTAAACGGAAGTAAAAGAGAAGCGATGTAGGTGTTGATGTCCTTTTTATGTGGTAAAAGTACAATTGGATTTCCTCTGGTCACACTGAGGATGTGGTTTAGTAAAAAGTGTAAATGGAATCCAGCCAGAGTTTATCAAGATACAATCCGGAACCCTACAACAAATTAAGGCTTTAACTCAAGGCTAGAGGTGGAGCTGCAGCTCCACACAAGAACAAGCACAAAACAAACAGGCCGAAGGTCTTCAAGTACAACAAGATCTCATTTGCTCCTCATTAAACGGGGACACTGGGACCCTCTCTGTTCTTGAAAAGCGAAAGAAGCTGAAACTCTGAGTGCTAAAAAAGGTCAGAGTTTTTGGTCTGATCTCTCGCAGTGAAGCTTGTGTTCAGACTCTCAGAATTCGATCTGCTGATCAGAGACTTTTACCCAAATTTGTGGAGTGCAGCTCGAGTGTCATTACAGCAAAAGGAGGACAAACACAAAACTGAAATTTATAATAATATAATTTGTGATGAGAATCTTTGTATTAGAAAATATTGCAAAACAGAAACATTTTCATTCAAGGTCTCAGACTTTAGAACCCCACTGTGGCTCAGATGTTTGCCGGCTTTTGAGATTCTGATCTTTTTGATGTTTGTGAAAAGGTTCCAGTTGCAGGAATAAATCGCGCTCAGTGTGTAACAGCTTTCAGAGTCTGATGTAGGGCTGCACAATATGACTCTGTAAAGTAATACGCTAATCTAAAACCCACCGACTCAATATACACTAATAACAGAAGCCAGTTGGCAGATATGTTTAGCTTTTAGCTATTATAGCTTCCATTATATCACTGCTGCTGGAACAAAACCTCTTATCTCCAAAATGATAATTTTACAGGAGAAGGAAAAAAAACATACTTTACTTATAATGTAAGTCAATGGAACCAGACTTTTTTCCAAGTCATTTTCCAAGTCTAAAAGATGGGCCATATCTTTTAGTTCATTTATCATGATATTTACAGACAATATAAAGAACAACAGACATTTTCACATTATGTCAAAAACTGAAAAAAGACAAACATGGAGATACAAGGTTTTGTTCAGCAGCAGCGATAAGTGAGTTTAGTGTTTGTTCTGTTGTTTGCTAAACTTGCAGTACTCGACTGTATGCTAGAGATACAGCTGATAGAAAGTAGGATGAAAAATGTTGAATTTCTCCTTTAATTATTCTCTTTTGCAATACTGATATTGCAGAAGGCTGGAATATGCAAATGGGAGCTTTACTAAACCAAAACATAAACAAATTTTACATTGTGTGCTGTGAGCATCCTAACCGATCACAATTTCAGGTGCTTCTGTTGGTGTTTTGCTAAATTAAAGCCCCAAAAAAGTGGACAAGAGTGGACAATACGACAATATAATATCACCACGATTCAGTACGTCACAATAAGGTTCTTCTCTTATCATCAACACTGAGGACTCTTTTGTTTCACTAAAAATTTGATTTATAATGGGTCTTGTTCATCTGGATGTGCAGTATGTGAAATATTTAACAAGAATATATAAATAAATTAATATCATACTCAGTTCTTGATAGAATTTTACTGGTGCAGCTCCTGTTTCAATTCATCAAAAATCTAAATGTTGTTTTTGTGAAAAAGTACTGCAATATTACATTATAGCCATATTGTCTACCCAAATACATAGATACAATAAACAAATTATAAAATAAAAGTCTCAAAGAGAATCCAAAACAGGAAAAATTATAGACATGGATGTCAGACATAGAGCTATAGCATTATGCTAGTTACACTAGTGCTGTCCACAAACAAAATAATGCTTTTGTTTTTTTTCACCATTCACATTATTTAAGGGGTACTGCAATTACGATTATTATTTCTAAATAACTGTGACTGCATTACGATATTTTGTCCATATTGCGCAGCCCTACACTGATGTTCTCATCATCATCATCCTCATCATCATCCTCATCATCATCATCATCATCTCCAAACTCCTCTCACAACACAATGTAACACTTTAAATGAGCACGTCTCCATTTTTCACCCTGTTGCATCAGTACTGTGTGTTTGAAAAGAACTGCTTTCAGCATGTGCCCATTGACTTCTATTCTAAGTCCATTCTGAGTCAAGGGTTTTTCTAGCATCATCTGAATTCAGGGAAACGTGTTCAAAGTATTCTCTGTGGTAATCAACTCTACACTATAGATACAACAGACACAGGTAAGGTTGAAAAGTTGTGGCGAACACCTTTAACACTGTGGAGTATCTGTATTATTATAATCAGGTTAAAAGCAGATCATGTTCCGCTGCTGGATTTCTGCGGCTGTTTCATCCAGTCCGGCTGATTTTTGAGTTTTTCATTGCAGTTCGAACCATTTTTGGAGTGTTTCTGATCACAGCGGTGGTCTACAGGTGGTCTTTTTAAAAAGTACATTAACATCCGTTTGGAAGAGTCTCGTTTGTCCACGTCTCTGACGTATGGTAGTGCTCATCACGCTGTTTTCTTCCCTCCTTGGCGCGTGATAGCCTCCAGTTTCTGTCGGTAAGCCTCGGCCTCCTGCTCCTTCTTCAGGAACTGCTGCCGATATTTCTGCGCTTCTCTATTCGCTTCCTCCAACTGCTTCAAGAGCGCCACCTTCTCCTAACACACACACACACATACACACACACAGAGAAACACTTTAATCTGATTCTTCAAAAAAATAAAAAAAACACACACACACACACACACACACACACACACATTTATCCACCTCCCCCTCTAGAATGTAGCTGAGATGTGTTTGGTGTATTAAGTTTTGCTATTAAGCTTCTTTAGTTTTAGCAATGGAGCTATGAGGCTAATGTAGCTAACATTTATAGACAACAGTGTGTCAGAAACCAGAAGCATGATGCTAACTGGTGGTATAAACTTCCATTACTTTACATTACATTTGCCTCGTAGCTCCAGTGCTAAAGCTAAAGAAGCAAACTTTGCACACCAAACACGTAATGGAAGCCTATACCCCAATTAGAATGGTGCTAACTGCATTTCTAAATCATCACACGCTAGCCTGAAACTGTGCAGAGCTGTTCAGTGTCTCTAATACACTTTATTATGTGGTTTTTGACACAAGCTAGCCCCCAGGCTAACTGCTAGCTTCTTTTACCAGCTGGCTAAGTAAGCTGCACTCTGATGCACAAATAGTATGCCAGCAATTTATGCAATATTTATGTATTAAATAGAAATAAGGAAAATATTTTAGCTGTTTGGTAGCTAACACTAGGTTCGCTGGCTACATATCCTAAACTGTTAATTTTGTAGCTGAACTGTTTCTTCTCAGCACTGTCAGCTTCGTCCCTTACACAAAGTAGTATGAATTTCTAATGTAAATAAACATGGGTTTTGTTATCATGTTATCATGTGAAAAAATGCCATCACAAGGGCTGAATGATTTGGGGAAAACATCTAGTTGTGATTTTTCTAACCAATACCATGACTGCAATTCAAAAAAAAAATTTCTGGGTTGAGGCCTGAACACAGAACAATATACACTAGACTGCCAATTAGTTTGTCACGACAACAAAACTGATAAAGATAATGATAAAATATTGTCATATTGTTCACCTCTACAGGGGTGTTTGGTTGTTTTTGTTTGGCCTGACTCATGTACAGGCCGATCACAAGCTTCACATTTTTAAAGCTTAAGACAAAGCTCAAGGCACTCTTAAACTGTGACTTCGATATATAGAAAATTAATCTTTCAGTCCTAGTGATCTTGTGGTTTTGCACACTTCAAATGTGAAATATATGTAACTTTTCTGTCCAGCATAAGAGCGAGTTAACCGGTTTGTATGAAATATTTCATCAAATAGCATAAATCCACCTTTCACTGCTGTCAGAAATGAATGAGAGCTAAGCTGCTAGCTTGTACTGAACAATGTGGTGTTCTGTGACATTTTGCTTTCACGTAACATGCTAGCTAACATTAGCTATTCGCACTAAGAAATCAATCTGCAGCTATATTTTAGCACCTGTAGTAAACATACCCAGCTACTAGCTGGCTAAATATAAACAAACTTTATTCACACACTATATAATTTCTGCTTTCTTTTAAATACATTCATTAATAATGTTTTATAAAGTGTTCTGCCCCTGTAATGAGAAATATTCAATAAAAATCATCACGGCTCACTCTTAGCAACCGCCAGCTAACATTTTCTCCCTTATAATGATCACTAATTGTGTTTTACAAAGCATTCTGCTCCTGTAATGAGAAATATATTCCATTCCTGATGAGTTTAGTGGCAAAATTTTAACATTTCTGAGAAACTGAGAAACACTATTACTAGGGGTGGGAATCTCTAGGCACCTCACGATTCGTTTCGATTACGATTCAGAGGGCTGCGAGGCTATAATAAAATGATTATCGATGCATCTTGATGCACCTTTTTTTCTAGACAGGGTTTCTTTTTTTCTCACTGTGTGAGGACTTGGTACTTTTAAAGCAAAGTATTTGTAATGATCCATAATGAATTTACTTCCAATATCTTTTATTAATAAAACAAATGGAAGTGATGTGGCAAGTGAACTGGAAGGCTCTCATTCACTACTCTTGTTTGGAGCACGAGACGCTGATCTGCGATAAAATGCAGTTACGGTGACATAAGACACTGTGGCAATGGATGTCCACGCAGCACATGTTCGGTTTTGGTTTTGTTGTAGAGAGTTGGGGGGGGTCACTGTGTCAGTAAAACATCTTTGAGACGGGATGCTGTATCTCGGCTCCAAAGTGTCCAACATAGCGCGAAAGCCCTGGTTTTCAACGACTCAGAATGGATGCAAATCCTTGGCAATAAAAGTTGCAATAGAGTTTGTAATTCACTTCCGAGTTGGGTGAAAGCTTTGACATCGCTTGCTCGATTGTCCTCTGGTTGGCAGCAAGTACAACCAGTAGGAAAACGGGTGGAAATATGTAATATGGCTTCTCATGTTTGACGTTTCCAAAATATTTTAGTTTAGTGTGACACAACTTGCATATAGTATGGCTCTTATCCAGGTCCCTTTTCCCCCGGCATGCAGACTTCAGGTCACCTAGCAACGCAGTCTTGCCTAGCTAGCAGCTAACGAAAAGGCAAAGAGAGAGATTTAAGATGAACATTTGGAGACAAATGGACTTATTTGCATTTATAAGCAACACAGTTGGTTTCCTGATACATTAAATTTGCAACGCGAGACTGTCAAATACTAAAAAGTTGCGAAGATGAAGTCAGCTTCTCTTTCTAATTTTCCCGGTCCACCTTAAATGTGGAACCATTTACATTCTGGTGCCTCAGGCAGAATTTAAGGTGGAACGGGAAAATTTGAACAAAAAGCTGGCGAATGAGAAGCCTCGTAAAACAGCCGAACGTTGAGAGACATTTTACAAGAAACTGTTTTACTTTTGAATAAAAGTTTTCTGGCGGAGATGGGAGGAAAGCGGCTATAGCTAAAGCTTAAGCAAAGTAAGCTGTTTATATTTTTTTACGTATACTATGACATTATCAGATACTGAGACATATTGGACATAAAATGTTGTGGCTCCCAAGGTGGTTTGATTTTTGTTCAAAGGACAAAACGGCTCTTAACATTTGGGTTGTCAACTCCTGACCTAACCTAGTTTTTAATGCAGAGGGTGCCGGTCGGATTTCTTACTCATCCAGTAGTGTTTTTGTTGTGTGCCGTCACAGAGTGTCCAGGCGCTGCACTTCCGCACTTCCAAGTTCCGCCTTTTGTGTTCCATCAACATTATGTTATAAATAAATATTTATAAAATCGGTTTTTGACATTTGTGAATCGATTTAGAATCGTCCACGTCTACATCACGATGCATCTAAGAATCGATTCCCCCCCCCACCCCTAACTATAACAGAGTGAAAAGAATCTCAGTACATTAGCATTTTCGCTAATAATGATCTGCTCTAACTCTGCTAACTTTAGCTAATGTTTCAGGTCTATCAATGCTGCAGTCTGAATGATACTGCACCTAACATTATCTTACACTGACCACGTTATTAATAACACAGATTTTTGTTTAGAACTTGTTTAGGTCTTTCTCTCTCACAGTGACAGTGACTACCCAGCATGCAACACAGAGGAACAAAGACAATGTACAGCATTCAGATAATGTATGAAACTAATTCCAGAGCACTGTATCACACAGTCCACTTTGCATAAATAAAACTGTCAGCTCTGAGGTCACTCAATAAAACATGCCTTCATTCAGCACCACTGAGTCATGTGACTGGACCTCAGAAACATCTGATAGCGTTTCTTAGTCACTCTCTGTACAGTATGTCATCGCTTTTTGCAATATTCATATATTAAAACAGAAATCGAGAAAATATTTTTAGCTGTCTGGTAGCTAAATGTTAGGTTCGCTGGCTGCATGTGCTAAAAGGCCAATTTTGCTGTTAGCAGTTTCTCAACAATCAGTTATTAAACATGCAGTGCTCATGTGAAAAAAATGTGATCACTAGGGATGAATGGTTTGAGGAAAACATCTAATTGCAATTTAACCAACACTGCTACTGCATTTTAAAATGCAATTATTTTCTATAAATTAAGGGCCTGGTACTTTGGTCATGAAGATTTTCTTTGAGATTGAAGCTTAAATGCAAAATGCAGTACAGCAGACTGCCAGTTAGTTTATCACAATAACGAAATGTATCATGATAACGATAAAATTTCGTGATATTGTTCACCTTTACAGGGGTGTTTGGTTGTTTTTGTTTGACCTGACTCATGTACAGGCAGATCACAAGCTTCATGTTTTAAAATCATAAAAAAATGGTGTTAATAATACAGGCTTTTATTAAAATTACAGTGTTTGTGATTTGAAAATTGCTCTGACTTAAACTGTGGCTTCAATATTAAAACGATCAATCTTTCAGCTGTAATGATCATGTGGTTTTGCGCACTTCACATGTGAAATATACACTATATTGCCAAAAGTATTCACTCACCCATCCAAATCATTGAATTCAGGTTTTCCAATCACTTGCATGGCCATAGGTGTATAAAACCAAGCACCTAGGCATGCAGACTGCTTCTACAAACATTTGTGAAAGAATGGGTCGCGCTCAGGAGCTCAGTGAATTCCAGCGTGGTACCGTGATAGGATGCCACCTGTGCAACCAGTCCAGTCGTGAAATTTCCTCGCTAATAAATATTCCACAGTCAACTGTCAGTGATATTATAACAAAGTGGAAGTGATTGGGAACAACATCAACGTAAAATGACAGAGCGGGGTCAGCGGATGCTGAGGAGCATAGTGCGCAGAGGTCACCAACTTTCTGCAGAGTCAATCGCTACAGACCTCCAAACTTCATGTGGCTTTCAGATTAGCTGAAGAACAGTGTAGAGAGCTTCATGGAATGGGTTTCCATGGCCGAGCAGCTGCATCCAAGCCTTACATCACCAAGTGCAATGCAAAGCGTTGAATGCAGTGGTGTAAAGCTCGCCGTCACTGGACTCTAGAGCAGTGGAGACGTGTTCTCTGGAGTGACGAATCACGCTTCTCCATGTGGCAATCCAGTGGACGAGTCTGGGTTTATGGTGTGGGGTTGTTTTTCAGGAGTTGGGCTCAGCCCCTTAGTTCCAGTGAAAGGAACTCTTAATGC